GGAGTGTGGAAGGAGTTTGGCGCAAGTGAAGAAAGATAGAAACTTCCTGTTTGCTTTTTCATGTCGGTTTCGCCCCATAAAACTGCAAAAGAGTGGATCATCTACATGGGATATGGTTTTATATTCATTCTCACCCTCTCTGCGAAATGCCTCAAGACACTTCGTTTCTTCACTCGTTTTAAATATTAATCCCCTTAAATTCGACTCACTGAAATATTACACAGGCTTTCTCGTTAAGCCGAGGCATCTTTGCAATATCTTGCGAGGCTTTCCAAGACTTGGCATTGTATTTCACATTTCTTTTTTTCGAGAACCATTGTTAAAAATAAAATTTCACCCTTGACGCATCATAACTTTTCCCACCCATTTCTGGACCACAACTCTTCACAAGCATTCGTATTTTTCTTTCACTTTAATTGCCCTTTAAAAGAAGACTTTTGCATGCAAAAGGAAACATCTCACACTCTTACAAGTCGTTCAGGCAAAGTATTACTCCTTCCGCTCAAGAAGCATTTTCAGTCCAACTACAAGTTTCAGCAACAAAGTTCGCAAAATGTCTGATTCAAAAATTGTATTTCTTTCTGGAAATACTCAGAATTTATCTTCAAAAATCTCCATATCAGATTGAAAAGCAACAATTCACTATTGAAGAAGTTATAAGTATTTTCATCTTCTATTAAAATTCTCTGAAATTGACAACAACTTTTTCCCAGAAAAGTATCAAAGACTCAAGCAAAGGGGAGATAATATAGTCAGAAGAGATGTACTGAAGAAGTTAAGAAGATGAAGTGATCAGAAACTTGCAATTTTCCTTTCCTGGAACGCTTCTTTTACTGTCTAATCCCAATTCTTTGAATTTTTCTTCATTTTTGCACTGACAACAATCACAAAAATCATTTTCTTAGGTTATGTAACAAATCAGAAACAAATTTAATGAACAATTTGCATTCTAACACATCAATTCTGATGCTTTAATCTAATATTGAACTGAAGAGAAATTACAGTGAAACGAGTTATTCAAGATTCAGCTTGTAACCCATAAATGAGCATAATAATAGCCCATTTTGACCCACTAATCATTCTCGACAGAGGTGTGTAAATTGAGATTGTCGACAATTAGGTACACAGGAGGTGTCCTTAAATGTCCCTCTGTGTGTACTAATTTAATAGAGGGTTGATGATGGAGTAATTAAGAAAATTCTCCCCATCGAGGATGTCCAAAATGACTCGGATTCAATCTCTGCAGCCACCTGTTAGCATCACATGTGCCAACAATCACCAAGAATGGCTGAAGGAGTCTCGAGAAGGCCTTCAAGACGCTTTCTCCCCTCGTGCGACATCCCTAAAGGCATGGCAGTGTCTGATATGATTAATCAGAAGCTCACTACGTGATATTTACTAAGTATATTCCACTCTTTGGAGGCTTCGTGATTTTCTGGTTATTTGCACAAATTTGTCACACTGACAGAGTGTCTTTCCTCGCCGCCAGCATGCGATAAAACTATCTCACACGCATGCAAAATTATGCAAATCAACCTCTGTCGACATTTTCAGAAACTGACGAAGATGCCTCAGAAGAGGATTCCCAATTTAATAGGTTTTCAGTTTGAAATTAGATGAGAAAGCAAATAGACGATTTTGCCAAAATTTATGCACATTCACATGGGAATATTCTGGCCAAAATAAACTTCTCCTTTCATCTTAGATTCCACCCTTTCATGGTCGTCCTCAAAAGTCTTTCACTTTGACACACTGCATGAATACGAGAGTCTTAGAAGTTGTGTTGCAAAAGGCAAAAAAAGTTAATGAGATTTGTTTGTAGGCAATTTGCAGAGATGTTGCAGAATTTTTAACAGAAGCCCCGCCCACTCAAATGCCCCGCCCATTCGAAGTGTTCCTGAACTTTTCTCCACTTCTTTCAACTGGTGCGTGACTCTTTGCATGCTGTTTTTCCTCGGAAAATGATGCTCAATCACATGCAACATGAGATTTTTGAGTGATCTTCCCATTCCCAATGGTATGCGCTCACATTTCCCATGTCAGAGGCATTGAGAAATGCAGAATTCGGGGTTGAAAGCTATCTCTAGAGTGGATGACTATAAATTATAAGTTTCGTGTGTGGTTTTGCCTTGTCGTGTTGGAGAAATGTAGGTTTTGGCGTGGGGGTGGCCAATGAGATGGGGTTGGAAAGTGATACATCCGGAATTTGTCACGTCTCCACACCAACCCCGAAAAGCTCTGCAGCAAATGAGAGTTTTTGCGAAGGCAGAAAATTGTCATGCGATACGATTGAATTTACGATTGGCATTTTTCCGCAAACGACTTTTCTCATAAACATTCCAAAGACGCCTCAGACTGACTTTTCTCCCTTCGCGAAGGAATTCGCGGCCGCTGCGAAAGGGTGGGAATGAGATGCGACCACTGTTAGGGGGTTGGGCATGAATTAATTATGAAATATGGCAGGAATTTTGAGTGGTTTATTGGCAAATGGCGAATCTGGTGGAGTTGAATTTATTCGAAAGTCACATTCACCTTTTTATTGAGATGCTGAGATGGTAATTAATCACTTGAAATGAACACCCACAGTTAGATATGATTCCGCAGCGAATTTCCCACCCCCTCAGTCACACCCTTATTTGTCAGAAAAAGGCGCATGAATTTTGTTATTCGTCACATTTTTCAAATAACTCCGCACTGGTTGATTTGCAACATGAAATGGCACAAATTTCGCGGTGTCAATTCGCGTGGCGGAAAAAAGGGTTTTCGCGTCAGTGGAGATGATGGCGATGAAAAAAAACAGGCCAAAGTTGGAGTGGAGAAAGTTATTCGCTTTGGTGAACTTGAGACGTCCCGCACTTTGATTTTACTTACAACTGTGCGGTTTTCGGAGCGTCTTTCTGAGAACTTCTCTGTCTCTCTGAAAGACAAGATTTTGCGACTAGTGAATTAAACTTTAATTCACTCTCTCACTGTCTCTCTACTGTGTTAGTTTTAATTAAAAGTTGAAGCTTAAGACTCTTGGAAAGAGGTGAAAATTGTCCCACTTCCAGAAGAGTACGCATCAAAATCAATTAAAATTTCCGATAAAACACTTTCCAATACATATAATAGATGAAGACGTGGATTAATTGATAGAAAATTGATAACTAGACATCCAGAAATATCTCAAATTATTGTTCAGGAATTAAGACGTGATTGATCAAAGAAGAACGGCACAGAATCAATCCCAAATATTCTTGAATCACAGACGAAATAGCACTAAAGAAAGCACGGTGAAATCGTTGAAATCAATGATGAAATCAGAAGTGTATCGGAGGAAAAGCGTGACAAAGGACATCCTGGCAATTCCCTCAATCGGACTCCACCTCTCAAGACGACCCACTTGCGCTGCCATTGTTTTCAATCAACAGTGCTCAAGGGATCGCTTTAGCGATTTGCTTGGTAAGAATATGCATTTCAGAGCCACTCGAGAGCAGCGTCTTGACGGAAGTTCACTCAACATTTCACGAGTGACTCACCCCTTTCTCTTCTGAGACTCTGTGAGGGTGGAAATGCTGAGAGAAGTCATTGAGAATGCTTTGTTGCACTTTCAGCTTTCGCGGGAGGAATTGCGACTGGAGCAAATGGGAAAATTGTTGCTGACTCGTATGCATGACAAATGGTGAAATCTAAAAGGAAAACACCATCCAGAATGGCAAGGAGGAAGTTGAGAACTTACGTGACGTTGTCTCAGTGTTTCTACCTCAGCTTCTTCTTCGACAGAGACATGGAATAAGATGTCGCATCGAATACTGATAAATTACCCTGTCATTCATCGCGTCTGTCCTTTGGGCGTCCTCAATGAGACACAGAGTGACCAATTTCTCCTTCTTTCTTTTGGGATAAAGCAGAATTCCTCTCAGTACCATTATCGCAACTGCCTAAGATGTCAAATAGAAACATTTGTGCATAAAGAGCTCTCTATTGAGTCAATTCAATGTTATAATTCCACGATTGAATTGTCCACTGAAGAGATGGAGAAAACATAGGATTTGTAGTTGCATTTGACACACCTTTGAGAGCCTCTTGAGGATCTACAGGAGTATGAGATTATAGTTTTGTGCACTCGTGCAGAGATCCATCATTGTGACACATTCTAATGAGCTTCTTGAGTGTCCTCTTGGCTGAAGAACCTCAAGCAGAAATCCACCAATTGAAAGCTCCTCAAATTGTCTCGTGAATGCTCATGTGGCTTTCATCACGAGTCTGTACTTCAAAGCACAGAGCCAAAGAAGCCCTCAACGCAGTGATTTCCTTACAAACTTTACATATCTTCGACGTCTCTTAAGATGGATTTTAGAGGACGTCTTTCCTTAAGTTGTCTTATTCACAAAGAATTGTTTTTGCAGCCGATCTCAACGTTATCTTCCTGGAATCTCATCATAGTAATCCTGAAATGTACATAGGATTATTAAGAAATACTCTGAACTTTCTCATAACATTATACAGTTACAGATTCCTTAAACGGCGGATGTTCTTCAAGAGAAAACTCGTTTGCTTCAGTCCCAAAAGACGCAGGATGTTTTCTAGCTTCTCCCTGTTGTTTTTCGTGGTAATTTTTAGTAGATTTTCATAGATAAAAACAGTATTTTATGCGGAGATTTGACAAAACTATGCTGTTGATGTTCAAGCTTATGCTGCAACTGCTGACATTCCTTCACATTCTACGCATGCTCGAGAGAAAAATGCGAGATTCTCCACTCTCACTGGACAGTGAAGGAAACATTTATAGAACCACGTAAGTAAAATTCAAGGGGCAGATTTTATGGTCGGACGTGGAAAATCAATTTGATCATCTTTTGTGCTAAAGATTCTCCACAGAAGCTGTGGAAGAATCTCTCACCTTCTCTCAATTGATTGAAAATGTGAAAAATGTCCATTAGTCAGTGTGACGAAATCCAGGTAGTAAACAATGCTATTCTGCATTTCATTGAGAATAATTAATTGTTTTCCATGCATTTTAATTGCCCCAAAAAAGCACTTTATTGGCCCAAAACGTAACACTTATTCAAGAGTGTTTCTTTCTCGTCCAATTTATGCACTCGCGCTGGCGTAATTCCGCCCTGAATGCGACCCTGGTCGTGTCTAACATCTTGGCGGACTCACACATTTCCCGCGCCTTTGCCACGCTGTTGGTGTGCAGCGCGCGCATGGTTTGGCGCTATTTGTATTTTCCGCGGAGACTGCCAGTTGTGGACGCAGTTCTGACGCTGGTGGGTGACTCTCGAGTGGCCAGAAGGAGTCCCAAGTGTCTCTGGCAGTGTGAGTCGAGCCATTTGGTGCTTCACATGTGATTTGTGCAGCTGAGAAGAGGCGACAGAAGCTCTTCCAACTGCATAGTGTTATGCAAAAGTGACTAACACACTTTCCCAATTGATTTGGCCACATTTTCCCTACAGACTGTGTCGCCGCCGTGTTCCTTTGTGCGCCAGTGAGACAAAGACGAAGGGCTTCGGTGAAAGACGGCCAAGAAAATTGCCAGCTGACAACTTGTTGTGTACGATAAATCCGTGTCAGAAGAGGAAGAAGTGAAACTGTGTACCTGTGTTTATGTATAATATAATGTGAACTTCTAATAATGCTGGCCCACAGTGGTTTACCTTGAAGCATTGGTGTGACATAAATAAAAAGTGAGTATATTAGATTTGTGCTTCGCTCACAACTTCAATTGCAATAATATTGCCATGGTGATATCAATTCAAATGCTCTGTACATAGAGGCTGTTTGATTTTCACTTTTCATCTCTCTGACCCAATTTTCTGCACATACACGAAAGTTCTATGTATATTTTCTCTCATCTGCAACTTATCAATTCCAATGTGAAATCTTATTTTAATCACAGAACGCAGAATTATTCTTTCCAACTCAAAGTCACTGAACCGTGAAAGTTAAAGTTCAGGGTTTGTCTATTTCCACATTATTTCACTCCAAGGGGAAGATAATGTGGTCAGAAGTGGTGTACAGCTCAGCTGAAGTATTTAAGCAGTGGAAGTGTCTGTGATTCCGCACAGAAATTGTGGAAGTGTCAGAAAGTGGTGTACTCAGTCTGGCCATATATACTTTCCTTTGTTTCACTCCAATATAACTTCTCGCGCAAGAATAGCCAGGAAGTGATATTATATTTTACACAAGAGCTCTTTCTCAACGTTGCCATATTATTGTGTCGACTTCACTAAACAGAAAAAAAGATACTAATTATTTTAAAAACGCTTTGTCTGAAATTGCCAAGTAATCGAAGATAAGAGGCGCAAGCATGCGAATGTGTTGGTATTTACGGTCAAGGAGATTTCGTCTCTTATCACAGTTGAATTTGCTATAGATTAAATTGAGATTGAAAATCTCTTGTTTCATTACACTTTCGCAGGAATTTCCACTTAAATACCTGCCGAGACTCAAGAGAGGCTCCTTATCGGCAAGTACGCCAAAAAGAAACTAACCAAGCTAATTATCTGAGGTCAAAGTCTATCTCCAGGGCAAACCGGGCGAACCGAAGAGTCTCTGATTGACGGATTCCTCTCAGAGTAGTGGAAGATGAGGAAATAGAGTCGCTGAAGCTCTCTGTGAAGCCCAATGGGAGGAGGAGATTCACTCTGAGCACGTTCTCGCCACGTGCGCCGCCGAGAAATATGTGTTATATTTAACTCGTTGTTGTCTCAAGATAGTTTTCTTTCTTCTTCCCTCACACACGATAACGGAGTATCTTATCGTTCATTGTTACTCAACTCTTGTGGGGCCTCTTTGCGCCCCAGCAAAGCCCCGCAGAGTCACTCCTTTTGCCTCGTGTCTCATGCGGAAAAAGTGTGATTATTGTTGGGAATTTGCATGATTGCAATATATATTGACGTGAAATGCATTTCATGCTTGTGTATTTATTTTCCTTCACAGCAACACACAATTTATTAATTGTTTTGACTTTGACGAAGGCAAGAAAGGCACAGAAATAGTGCTTGCAAGACAATTTCAAAGACGAGTCTATTGAGGCACATTCTCAATTGAGTTTTTCCCCACCATCATAACAGCTCAACATGCCCGCGTTGCCCATTTCTTCGGGCGCGAACTGTGAATTCACTTTCGTGCTTGTTTTCCAATTAAACTGATTTCGCTGCTTTGGTGTGAATAATTGAAAAATCGAGTGTTTCATTCACTCATTCATGCTCGACAGCAAAGAAATGAATAGAAAAACTATGGTAATGAGAATAATTTTCAGCTGGCTTTTGCTTCAGACAATTTCCACAATTTTCCCATCAAGAGTTTTATATTTTATAATTGCGCAGACAATATAATTAATAAAATAGCTGTTCTTAATTTCACATAATATTCTCTATATATATTCTCCCATTAAACCAGAATTCTTAATCAAGAGGGCATTAATTGGATTCAGTAGCGCACTTAAGCGCAAGGGGGAGATAATACGACTAAACGGTGTACATCACTTCCTGACACTTTCACAATTTCTGCACAGACACTTTCAGAACTTATATTCTTCTTCTTTTTCGCATTATAGCCACAAATTTAGGACTCTTTGTCCTAAAAAGACGCAATTTTTATTTTTATGAGCCTGAAAACTTGCGGAGAAACAGTTTTTAAAAATATATGTCAAGTTTCTAACCAAAATTTTGATGTGATTTTTATTTTTCAAACGCTCTTTCAGATGAATTTTGACACATAAACTCAAAATTATCTAAAGATATTTAGAAGTATCCTTGAAAGAATCTTATTCGAAATGTTTTAAAGGAGAATTTGGGGAATATAAATTTATTTTAAAGTAGAAAATCCATAAAAAAGCTCTTAAATTAGGTAATTTTGTATTCTGAAGCAGTATTTAGAGGTTATAATCAGTCTTAGCATAATAACCGCAGTTCAATATTGAAAACTTGTAATCCTTATCAGATTTCTTTATATATTGCCTTAGTAAATTGCAAATTCATGCACTTCCACTTCCCAAGTACTTCAGCTGAGCTGTACACCACTTCCGACCACAATATCTTCCCCTTGCTTGCATGAGAATTTCGTAAAACCTTCAGTTTGTCGACACTCTGAAATAACTGGGCGATATATTTACACAGTCGTGAAAAAAGAAGAGACGAAAAAGAAACCAACAAAACGACGGATAAAAATGAGACACAGGCAAATGGGAGTGAAAATTGGCACTACGACCTCATGTTTCATGTTGGGAGAATCCCGCAGAAGTATATATATAGAACATTTTCAATCCTATTCACCGCCTTTTCTCCCTCTTCTTCACAGATGAAATCAGTGGAGATTCTCACACGGTGGCATATTTGAGGAAATCATGCATCGAGACGCGCGTGCTTCGCAGCAAATCATGAGGCTGGAGAATGTCTCAGAGAATTCCAATCCCGAGTCCTCGCAGGACGACATCGAGGAGAATGTGGCTCTCGTGCCGCGCAGAAATGATTTCCTGGCTGTGTCGATTGAGTGAGTATTTGTGAACGCAACGCGAGACTCTTGGGAAAGGTCAGGAATGCAGGTGATTTATCGAGACAACACTGCGACACTCAGTCGTGGACTTAGAATCTGTGGCCAGGGAATTGTTTACTCTCATTTCTCTCGCAATGAATCGCCAGAGAAGAATCCCATCTTAATTGTGCCTGAATTGTAATGTGACTTTAGGGGAGAGTGGGGCAGTTTTGAACGAAACACTGAACACGTTCACAGCTGCCCCACTCTTTGCAGTATATCAAGAGACTTCCATAGCCTCTCAGCGCAGTCTTTAATAATTAAGACACTTCTGAACGCACTTCTTCCAGCTCGCACAGCAATCGGATGCGAGTGGCTCTGGGCGTCCTCATGAGACTCCTCGTGCCCATTCTCAACGGCGTGGTGAAGGGCTGGCACGGAATCCGAGGGATTCGCGTGCTGCGCTCTCTGCGAAATCTGCGCTCCAGTCGCAGTCTGCTCACGAATCTCCTCGCCTTCTCCGCCAACACCGTGTCCATGAGCCTCTCCTCCGTCCAGGTGGTGCACAAGATCGATCCCCTGCTGAAAATGATGAAGCTCAGGCGTGGCGCCACGCTTCCCGGACGCCTGCCGGCGCTGCTGCTCGAGGAGCCCGAGAAGTGCGTGACGCTGAACGTCTTGGCTGAGCCTCCGGCTGATGTGCCCATCCGCGCGGACGTAATCTTCATCCACGGACTGCACGGATCGCTGGTGAACACGTGGAAGCAGGGCCAGTGGGATGTGCACGGGAAGCGTCAGAAGATCCAGCAGACAGTCCAGCGTCCGCCGCGACCGCCCATTAGGCCGCCAAAGCGCCCCCGACACAGTCACCAGATTCCACCGCCGCCGCACGTGGCCAAGAGGGCGCGGCACTACTCAAATCCCCTGCTCAATGACGAGGAGTTCGAGAACCTCCTGCGCCAGGTGTGCTTCGAGGCGAACTTCGCGCAGTGTCTCGGCGGCGAGAGCGACTGGGAGGACAGGCGTGTGTCCTTCCCCACCTTCCGGACGCGCTACTCCGAGGAGGACGTGCGAGAGAGTCCAGGAACGCCGCCTGGAAAGCTTGAGGATGCGTCTGGTGAGCCGTACAGCACGTGCTGGCCTCGCGACTGGCTGCCCGTGAGCTGTCCAGGCGTGAGAGTGATCGCGCTGAACTACACCACAGATCCCTACCTCTGGCGACCGCTGTGGGTGCGGAAGCGCAACAGAACGTCCCTCGTGGAGCGCTCCAGGGAGATGACGGAGCAGCTGATTCAACATGGTGTGGGCGTGGGGCATCCGATAGTGTGGGTGGGACATTCCAAGGGAGGCATCTTCATCAAGCAGATCATCGTGGATGGTGAGTTCGCGTGTTTCTGGCCGGAGATTGTCTCTAAATCCACAACTCTCTCTCTTTCTTTCAGCGTGGGAGAGTGGGCGTGTTGACAGAGCACCTCTGTGGCAATCTAGTCGAGGAATCCTATTCTACTCTGTGCCACATCGCGGAAGCTCCCTGGCAGACTTCAATCTGCCTCTCCTCCGGCAATCCGTGGAGCTGCTGGAGATTCAGAAGAGTAAGTGTGTTTCAGCTCCCTCTTCGGAGGATTCTCTAAGACATTTTCACATCCTCAGATTGCCAGAGCATCCTGGAGTTGCACAGACGCTTCCTGGCGCTGTATCGCGGCGGTCAGTTGCGGATTCGCGTGTTCAGCTTCATCGAGACGGCGCTCACGCTCATGTCTGTGCTGTACTTGCGAATTGTGGGTGTGGACTCGGCGGATCCGGGCATTGGCGAGGTGTGCGGTGTCCACCTGGATCACCGGGAGATCTGCAAGCCGCGCAATCGCAACTGCATCCTGTACACTGAACTCACCAAAATGATCAACAAAGTCAGTTAAGCGGAAGTATTCTCCCAATAGCGTTGCTAAGGCATTCAATGTGATTATTTTAGATTTAGGTAGATAATTTTCTCAAATTGCGACTCAGCAAGCTTAGGTGAATAAATAAGCGAAGAGAATCCTTCGAAGAAGCATGCCATTTAAGGTGAAGAAGAATAACAAGGTAATCCAAGACCTGAAAAACTGCTTGAAAGGGACAAATAAACGGGCAAAGTTCAAATTTCCACAACAAAAGACCATGAAAATGACCCCAAAATGACCTGAGATATCAAAGAACTTATTTACATATTCCAAGTATAAATATTCATAGTATTTTGAAAGTTTTATCAATTATTATATAAATTATTCGCAGTAAACTGATAACTTTCATTCTATACTAAATCCTTCCCGCTAAATACCCACCAATTAACTCTTAAGTCACAAAAGCAGTGTTTAAGTCTATCAAGAACTCAGTGTGAATGCGCCTGACTTGCTGATTAGATTCTTAGCCAAACAATTGTAGGATGATAAAATAAAACTTATGGGATAATTAAATTGAGATCCAGATAATCATTATCGTCTGTCCAATTGGGCGCCGAATCTGGAACGTCTTGAGCGCTTAAGTGTGTCAGTAAGGGACGTCCTTGAGCGTCCAGGGAGTGATACTTGAGGAGATTCTCATCAATTGGCTCAGAAGTTGGCCAGGCATTGCCCGGAAGTGGAATGTCTTCGCCCAGAAGCCAAGGATCAGTCTTTTTGAGGTGGAAACTCTCGGGCAAGCAGTGATGCTGCCGACAAAAGTACTCTTCGCCACCCTCACGATGGCACCACGTTCCGTCCGGAAAGTAGGGATCAATTCCCAAGTCATTCAGCTCCAGTCGAGGTGTATAATAGGCTCCCGTGTCGCGACGCTTGCAGAAGATCGCACAACTCATCCACAGGCGATTTGACTCGTGCGGAGCCTGCATTCCTGGCGCTTTCCTGTCCAATTCGGGCAGCTTTCGACTGAACTCCCGGCACTTGACAGTGGCGAAGTCCACAGCAGAGCGACGTCGTCTGCAGAGACGATCGTCAGGGCAGAGATCCACTGCGAAAGAGTGTCCGTCGCAGCCACGATCAGTGTTCAGAGGCGGAGGATTTGTGCACTGTCGCTTCCCGGCCTGAAACCCACGCGACTTCTCAATGCACCCAGAGGAGCACTTCTCCAGCTGCCACGCACTCCAGCCACCCTCGCGGATCGGCAGAGACGCCCTCGCAGGCACACACTCGCCGCCCTGGCAGGACTTTCCACGCTCGCACTCTGTGCCTTCCAGCGCCGGTCCGGCGAAGTAGAATCCACTCCTGTGCGGCGTCCGGCAGTGCAGATTGCGACACATGCTGGCGGATTCTGTGGCCAGAGCGTCCTGGTCCAGCAAGAGCAACTGACACTGCTGCCGCGCAGTCCAGGAGCGCCCAGGCACACCACCGAACATCCAGGCGTCATTCTCCTCTGGCACAGAGTCCGGCTTGTCTCTCAGACACGTGGCGAAGCGTCTCAGGGAGCGCACGGCGTCAGCACTGCACGCTGACCAGGTTGTCTCACCGTCAGTTCCTCTGGATGGCGACATGACGAAACCATCCTTCGGACAGGAGTTCCCCGTGCCATCATGATGCATCCCCAGATTGTGGCCAATCTCGTGCGCCAGGATGAAGACTGAGGTGAAGCCCGTGGACGGATAGGGCTTTCCCAGGCTGTTCGTGGCGCCAAACTCCGCCACGACGCAATTATACTCGGGAATACAGACTCCTCCCACTGTGGCCAGGCCCATTGTCACACCGTTGCGCTTCCCACTCTCCCAGGCGAAGAAGTCCAACCCCGAGATGTACACTGCCATGTCCCAGTGCTGCGGATCAGCGTCAGAGGCAGAATTGAGGCGCTTCTGGTAGGCACAGAAGGAGTCCAGCAGAGCACTGCGCTCGCCATCGTGATGCGGAAGATCTCGCGGCTGTCGACGCATGATCTCCATGTAGACCACCACAATGTCCACCTCCTCCGTCAAGGAGGGATGATGATAGAGCGCCTGGACGCCATTCAAGTACGCCAGGATCATGTTCCGCAGCTTCTTGGCGTCGTACTGGAAGAATGGCGCGAAAATCCGATACGCAGGCTCATCGAAGAACACTCCCAACTCCACGATGCTCTTCAGATCACGGAATCCCATCCGGCCGGAAGATTGATCCTCCGGAAATGTCAGATCGCTGCGAAGAGTGAAGTCTTGTGAGAAAGTTGAGAATGCTGGCAAGCGAGAAGCTTTGCGGATGATATGAGGAGTTCCTGGGCGGACTGATGTGTCCAGCAGAGCTTCCTGGACGGAGAGTAGTCGCTGCAAACGATCATTGAGCGGACGAATCTCCAGCGTGTCGTCATCCATGAGAATTATTCCACTCAGAGCGTCTTCTTCCTCCTCACAAACACTCACAGCAGCGATAATTCCTCCGGAAGATGATAAAAAGTGGCAATTTCTGTCCTCTTCTGGAATCTCCAGTGTTTCTGCCACCTCTCCGAGCTCAATGATGCGAATTTGAGGGGAAATCAAGTAGCGATTTGGTGAGAAATCCAATGCGAAAGGTTGATTGAATGCTGTGAAGTTCAGACGGAGATTTCGCTCTCCAGAATCACCAAAAGCACTTCTTTCAGCAACAATCAGCGGTTGAATCTCATACTCAGGCACAGAATTCACTGTGTCTGTCTCAAAATAGTACCTGAGAAACACACACAAACTATTAGAGCAATTTCTGTAAACATTTCCTGAAAAACTCACCCCAATTCGTTGGCGTTCATGAAGTGGTGCAGATTGTCCGGGGCTGGAAAAGCCCCGACAATCCCGAAGAGCACAATAACCAGACGCATAACAGCCAAACACTGAAGACACTCTCAGCTTGGCAGCGACTTTTGCTGGCTGGCTTTATACTCACAACCTTCGCGGCCAAATGCGGGCGCCGTAACGGATTCCCGCGGCTCTTCCAGAGATTACACTTGATTGGCAGCCCTTATTTGCCCAGCGAAAAGAAAGGAAATGCATCGGCGTAGATTTGAGTCCCATTTCATTAACAAATTTTTCACCTAATATGCTTCACAAAACGAACTGTACAAATTATGTTACAAAATAAATAACAACGAAAGCTAGAGTCAAATTTCTCCTATTCACGTGCACTATTGTCCATCTCCGGGAACATTTCCGCCAGGATCGTGTCGAAGAGGCAGTAGATCAGGTGCTTGTTCAGCGCCGGCGACTGCAGAGTGTCCACAACGTTGCCCAGCCGCCTGGACACCATCGTGATGCGTCGCCTGGCCAACTCTTGGCGCTTCTTCAGCTCCGCCGCTTCGCTCTCCTCGCGCTTCGGTGGCTTCTCCTCGAAGATCTGCTCCTCGAGTAGCGCCAGAAGGAAGGCGAGGCGTGGCTCGTGCAGTCCAATCCTGAGCAGCTTGGCCAGGCCGCGACAGATGATGGAATCCACGGTGGTGCGCGAGAGACGAATGAGAGCCAGCGTGAGTTTCACTATCACAGTTGGTGCAGCAAGTATTCGAGTCACTGCAATACAGAAATCACCCACGATTTGTTCTCAGACTGCTCCTGAGCTGTGCAAATTCCTACTCACAAATGTACACGAGACACTGCGACGGTCCCTTGACGGTGTAAGGCAGCGCCAGCGAGGAGTTGTGCAGCAGATGCGCATCCTTGTGCACGCGAAACAAGTCTCCGAACACCAGATTTCGCCCCGGCGGATTGGGCTTCCGTCGCTCGCCCTCCTCCAGCATCTCAATCACCTCCTCGCCAACGTCGGTGCTCTGCTCGATGGACTGCATGAAGCTCACCATGAAGCTGTCCAGATTCTGGCCGCGCTCCTTCCGCAGCTTCTGCGTCACCGAACTGTAGATCGTCGGATTGGGTGCGGAAGTCTGCAGAGCGACAAGGCGTGATGATCACAATTTCCCAGAGGAGAAGAGAATTCACTCACCTGAGACTCACTGAAGGCATCCCAGACGGTGGGCATTTCTGTCGCCTCCAGAGGAGCTCCGTCAACGGCTCCCCGAATCACACCTTTCAGCTTCGACAGCCGCGAAACTGTGGCGCCGCTCTGATCCTGGCCGCGATTCGTCTCGAGGGCGTGAACGTCCCTGTCGCCATAAACGAGACGGAAGTACTCTGGCGTGCGCCGGAAAGCCTTCCGCCAGCGTCCCTGCAGATTCGCGCGCACCTCCTCGTGCGCCTCCGTGAGCGTCTGCACATCGCCAGCGCCGAATTCCTTCTGCATCTGCGTCTGGTACGTGTCGAGCAGCTTCTCCGATTGCTGCTGCAGCGCCGACACTTTGGCGGGATCCGTGGTGACACGCGGATCCAGGAGTTCGCGATTGAGATTGTCCACGTCCAGGTGAAAGCGCAGCATGTCCACGGCGCCCTCGCGCTTCAGGAACTGCATGAAAGAGTAGAGTTTCGTCTGGTCGGCGAGGAGATCGTCACACGACGCCCAGGTTTGCGTTGAATTGGCTTTGGTGGGCTCTCGAGGTGGTGACAGAGTGTCTCGGCGCTTCGTGAAGGCTTCCAGGAATGTCACTTTCCGGCTCTCCCGGAAGTTCATTGCGGTCTGACGCGGATTTGTGGCCACAACGATGAGGAGATTGATAAGATTGGGATCAGAAATGACGTCCAGCAGTGGCAAAAGCACCCAGCAAGTCGTCAATTCACGCAGAAGCGTGCACATGACTTTGCTGTCCAGCTGATCTGTATTCAGGAGTCGTGGCATGAGACATCTCGCCACGCCGCGAAGATATTCGAGCTCTGCGCGACGATTCAGCGCCGCCGGATGAACTGTGAACTCCTGATGGACAAATGAGGCCGACAGCTTGTCCACAGACACTCCATCGGCCAGCATCTTGGCCACAGTCTCGTGGTGGGCGAACACACAGGGCAGGAGTTTCTCTGTGATCAGCAGAGGTGCGTCAATTTGCCGGACTTTCAGGACAAGTCTGCAAGTCGCTTCGCGCAGATTCTCCTTCAGCAGATGCACGAAGTTCTCATTGCGCGACACGAGGAAGAACCAACTCTCTACGAAGCTCGTCAGGATGCGCGTGTAGAAGCGATCCACGGCCTTGTCCAGCTGCTCATCCACACTCCAGCCGCGCCAGGGCTCGCGCGGTCGCCACTGATGGCTCTTGTGGCGCTCGCACTGCCGCTGGCCGCACAGGTGGCACTCCTCCGTGTCGCCGGTGGTCTGAAAAGGTCCCCAAACACAAGGTCAGAAGCGCCACAAACCCCACAAAAACACTCACGTAATCCTGGAAGCCGAGGAAGTCTTTGGTCTTGTCTAAGTATTTGGCGATGGTTTCTCTATTGCTTAGTAATACTGCGCCCACGATCGCTCCGCAGATGTACAGCACGACCACGAAGAGACCCAGGGTGAGGCTGCAGAGAGGTCAGGGCGTTGCTAATTGAATTTGAGTCCGTCAATTTGGGCGATTTGCTACGCACCTGCCAATGATGCAGAGACCAGCGAACAGGACAACGCCAACGCTCAGCAGGCATGTGGCGCTGTCCCGCCAGAAGTTCACCACCAGGCGGGTTAAGTACGGCACGGACATGACGCTAAATCATCTGAAAGACGGCTGAAAATGCGATTTTCTACAAAGGGAAAAAGCCACAACACACCAAGTTTATTTTGAACTCCACACAGTGACATTTGTCACATTTGTCCCACGCGCCCGTTTTTCGAATTTCGAATGTTTTTCGGACTCAATGTGGGATATGTGATGGCGGGAGTTTTGAAGGAAATTCAACCGTTACTGGGCAATTTTACAAGGGGAAAACCTTAATTAAAAATGCCGAGTGAGTCTCCAAAATACTTCCATTATATTTTATATGATCAATTTTATGGAGTATTATAGCTACATTTAAGAGATAATTGATAGTTTCCACCTCCAGAGCGTCTTCCATACACGATATTTCGTCCAAAATGCATTGAATGCGTCTAATATCATCTCTTAACACTATTCATACGTGTATAAATATCATTACAATATGTATAGCAATGCTCTTCACAGAGTACTTAGAGAGGGTATTTTAGTAATAGAGAGCGTCGCCGGCCTGCAGCCCGGGGGGCATGTCGGCGGCGCGGCTTAAGGAGTACGTGAGAGAGAGAGAGGGGCTCAGTTGGTAAGGTCGCTGAATTCGTAGGAAGTGTTGTTGAGAAGCAGCGTGGAGTTGTAGAAAGTGGTGGAAGCGATCGAGAAGATATGCGGCATGTCGTCGGGCAGGTCGCTGGCCATCGTGGTGGCGTTGGCCGCCGCCGTGGACAGCATCCGCTGCGTGGTGTTGAGCGCGGCCGCCGTGGTGGTGAGGAGCGTTGTCGTGGTGGCCATGGTGGTGTTTATCACAGGCGCCGACGGAATGTAGGGATAGACGGGACAGGGATTGGGTAGCTGCGGCCCCAAGATCGAGTCGAACATGTAGCCGAGCAGGGAGCCCGCCGTGAGTCCCACCTGATACGACAGCGTCATGATGTTGCCGGTGACCTCCTTGAGAGTGGCCGGCACCTTGGCCGGCGCCAGCATCATGGGCAGACTGCCGGCCAGGCCGTTGGACAGCCCGAGGGCGGCCGTGAAGAAGAACGCCGGCGTCTCGCCACTCACCACGGGGCGCTCGCGCGGCGTGCAGCAGAGCAGCAGCAGTGGCACGAGGAGCGTCCGCAGGCCGGACATCAGCGTCAGCTGGCGGCGCGACCAGGCGTACGGGAAGGCCGCGAGCATCTTGCCCAGCACATCGGCGGAGTTGAAGGTGAACATGAGCAGGACGGGCATCCACGAACCCAGCGAGCACGAGATGATCTCCGACTCAATGCCCGGATACAGCGAGAGCGTGACGCAGTAGGCCAGCGCGATGCACACCATGTACGGGTAGATGGCGTGCGCCACGCGCCAGCGCGCCTCCAGGCCGCTGCGGAAGTCCCCGAGGCGGCCGCGGCTGCACGCGCCCGGCGTCAGCACGTGCTCCACCTTGAAGGCGACGCTGGGCTCCGCCGGCGCCGGCGAGCCATCCGACAGGGCGGCGTCCAGGCTGTTCTCGCCCGCCGTGGGATTGGACAGCTCGTACACGGGATTGCTGAAGCTGAGCGCCGGCGCGGGCTGCGTGGGCGAGCTGGGGTCCAGCGTGAGCACGCCGTACTTGGCCGACTCGCCGCCGTCGATGGAGTCCGACTGGCGGCCCTCGTACGGCTGCAGCACGATCTTGGCGCAGGCCTTCACGTGGTAGCGCACGAAGGGCGAGTGCACGGTGACCGTGTGCAGGACGTAGCTGATGCCAATGTAGGCGCTGGACGTGAGGAAGAAGATCATGGTGGACACGCGGTTGTTCTCGATCAGCAGCTTTGTCATCACGCGATTCGCGGACACCAGGAATCCCGCCACGCTCTCACCCGCCATCACGGCCTGCGTGTACTCCTTGGGCAGCATGCTGGCGAAGCCGTAGAAGCTGGACTGCTGCACCGTGCAGCCGATGGCCACCAGCGACACGGCGGCCAGCGTCACGGAGTACGCCGTCGTGGCGGCGAACATGTGCCACGCCACCTCGCACAGTGCCACGAACACGAGCGTCGTGAAGGAGATCGCGTAGCCTGGAAAGAGAGTCCAAATTCAATTCTCTCTCCACCTGCCAATTAGCAATCCATTAGCGCGCCAAATTCAATTTAAGTCCGCCCGCCATGGAATCTCCGCAAATTGAATAACATCGCAGGGATGTTTTTGAATTAATTAACTGACACTGTGCATCCATTGTGCGGCGAAGGTGCACTAAATTGATTTTCCCCGAAACTCTCCAGCCCCATTTTTACTCTCCCCCCCCCCCCGTTTTTCCCTATTTTCACAAATGTGAAGTGCAGAACAAAGCTTGAATTTCAATACCTCACATTTGCTGATGAGCAGCACCCAGAGTTGCACATTGTATTGTTAGAGTTTGGGGTGCAAACAAGGGAGGTTTATTCAATTGAAGTGATGCTCCAATTTCGAGTAGAAAGTTGTGTAAATGTAAGAGACTTTTAACACATGAGATGAGTTTTCTGGATCAACTCCCAGTTAAACATGCAAATGTAAAAACTTTAAACATGTAAAAGTTTAACATTCCAAACAAAAAAGGAAAAACCGACCTTGTTACTCTCGCTAAAATGGCTTAAACAGTAATAGAGAGTTTTAAGTTTTTTAACACATTGTGTAAGAAAAGCGAAGTAGTGAATTTTGTCTATATTATTGAAATTGCAGTAAAACAGTTAACAGCAAAAGCGTGTGTTAAACCATTATAACACATTTCTAAATTTCTTGTGTGAATTGCTCCAAACATTTGTGGTGAATTTTTTAACACACTCAGAATACCAAAGATTATTTTAAACTTTGATAACACATATTTAACATTCCATGTTTGAGTGGAAATTAATCCATTTGTGTGTTATTTTATATTGAATTTTCCCTGCTAAAATCAATTAATTAATTTGTAATTTAAGCGTTCCCTGTAAAATTGCTTAGCTTTTCTACCGTTCAGTTTGATTTGGATGTGAAATTAGTGATAAATTGCATGTAAAAAATTCGACCACATATTTTAATCTCTTTCAGAGAGATTCTAAAGCATAATTAATGCCTTAACGAGTTGATGCGCACTTAAGGGATGAGCAATAATTGGACTTGACTGAAGCTCTGTCCGTCGGTGGTGAAACTTATTCACCCCAAAACATACTATGGGTGTAAATTCATGTTGAAAATGCATTCTGCTGGGATTAAGAGGGATTTTGAGAGATTCTCAATGGAAATTTAATAAGTCTCAACTCGTGCTTATCAAAGGTTCAAAAGGTATTTCGTGCAGGAGAATTGGATGAATAAATACAGTCAAGAAGCACCAGCAAATGTACACCGAGATGCAAATGACTCTGCCTTGGCGTCCTGCGGCCAGTAAGAGAGTGTCACGCATGAAAAGGAGTCGCCGAGGGAGTTGCGGAGTGTGAATCGGTTGGACGGCGGCCAAAGAGACTCACCAAATTGCACACGAATCTTGAACGGCACGAGCGAGAGAAAGACGTTGTTCAGCAGCACCGTGGCGAAGGCGACCAGGATGTACGTCATGCTCATGTCCAGGGCCACGGAGCGCCCGGGGAAGCGCACCTGCCAGTAGTCAGCGGCGATGATGAAGCTGTTGTACGGCAGGACGAAGCCGACTCCGGCGGTGAGCAGCGCCATGTAGGCGATGCGTTTGCGGTCCTTGGGCGGTCCTGTGTCCGTGTCGGGACTCTCAGATGGCTCGTAGCGGCGCCTGGAGCCGCCCAGGGGCTCATACGTGTTCCTCACATCCCCGGCGGAGTCCCCGTCGTCGGGATGGGCACTCTCCCTCTCCATCCTTGCGAGCTGCGGATCGTTGGCGCGCCTTTAGCCCAACAACAAGCGCCGCTCGCGCGTCTGCACACACAACTCACCTGGATTATCCTCTAATTGTGCTTTCTCTCTCCTGCCACTGATTTCTTGTCTGTGGGGGGACTTTTTTCACATCTCGCCCGGGCTGTAGATGTCCTGCATAGCACACTCGGCGCCACTCGACCCGCGCACGGGCTGCAATCTGCACGACACTCGGGTCCGCTGGACAGGCTCAGGAGTCAGGAGATGAATCTGGGCGCGATCAACAAAAAAAGGTATTTATAGACACACTCGACGCATTCCACCCGCGAACTGTGCCGTCCTCTCGGCTTTTCCGGGTCTGTTGGTGGAAAATCCAGTGCGGCGGCGCGCTTTCATCGATTTCCGGAGCGAGATGGAGCTTTTGTTGTGATCACACTCCATCTGAAGTGCGCGCCTACGTCACCGGGAGGCAATCTTGGCAGACACTGTGGTATCCGCGAGTCCGCGCTTGTGAATGGGATGCACCTTGGCCAATACACGCAGGACAACTAGTGAGGCAGTCGCACTCGATGGATTATGTATTAGAGAGGAAGAATGTGACATTGAAAATCTGCGGTTGGAAACTTGATGAAATAATGATGAGCAGCAATTTTCACGACCCTCAGTGGATTTACAGGGGAGGAAAATGCAGTCCGAGAAAGCGTAATAATAACCCAGGAATGGAATTAATATGAAAAATCTCATGGAGTGCAGATGAAAGGAATTCTAGGAAGCGCGCTTTGTGTCCTTTTGACAAGGATTCGCTGTGCGCTCTTTATTTCATTGCTAATATGATTGAAAGCACTTTCATATCACAGGAATGCGTTCATGTTGGCATTCTATTCAGCCATTGAAATAGTGTTAAATCACATTCAATTCTGTGCTCTGAACTCTTCTCTATATTTCTATATATTTTTGATGATATTGAGAAGCTGTGCTTCCTGGAATTTGCAGTAAAATATGCGATGAGGATAAAGTTATACCTCGTGGGAGAATCAGGAGTTTTCCAAAAGTTATGAATCATAAATGAGAATATTTTGCAAAATTACTGCATTTCACTGATTATGAATATATTCTGTTGCGCATCGAATTCCACACCAAATACACTCATTTGTTGGCAATGATGAATTGAGATATTTCATCATAAATCAGTTCCAGAAAAATTAATTGTTTTCGGATTTGCTTTAGAGGGACATTTTAGAGAATTTGTGATTAAAAACTTTGCGATTATTTAATTATTTTGTGATTTTTGTGAAGAGTGAGGAAATTATACGATATTATTAGCGTCCCTCACGCCAACTTTGCTGCCCTCTTGCGGCGATATGTAGCGAAAATAATCAAATATTTAAATATACTTAAATTCTTACAGAAAGTATTAAAATACTATTATTTAAGATAATAAAATAATAATTATTTGATTTTAGTTATTCAAATTTAAGCGATGAGGTCTGTTTTCTTACCATTCATCTGCCATAATTGCGATTTGTGCGGAATAATTTTATTTTCAGTGCAAATATATCCATTTTGAGGGGTTATTTTGTCATAAAACCCAGTCACATAACCTAGAAAACTATGTCAAGATGATCAAAATGCAGGCCTGTATTATAGAGTTGATTTTGTATAATTTATAAAAGTAAAATAAACAATAGAAATTTAAAATAATTGTTCGAATTATTACAATTTCTTCTACACTTTCCACTTCCTTATACTTCTGCTGAGATGTACACCACTTCCGATTATATTATTTCCCCCTTGAGCAAAAGCACAATCTGAAATATGCACAAATTCGAATGCCTTGTGAACCGGATAACCGATACTACTCTAAACTCTTAACTCTCTTAACTAATTCGCAAGTTGATCTGCAAATTCATTTATCTAATCTGAAATTCGCATTCTATATTGGCAAATTGAACAAAATCAGTTGCATTTTGAAGGCTTTCGTAGTCATTTTCAGAAGCAGAGCGACGGAAATTGACCACCTTTCGTGCCTTCGACGTCGAGACTTTCCTCAGCGAAGCGCCGCGAACACTCGGCGACTTCGTGCCGTGGAGATTGACAGTGCGACAGTACAGTTGGGAGTGATTGGATCTCTCTTGGCTTCGCTGTCCATCGAGTGAGAGTTGTGTGTGAGTCACTGGCGGACATTCCAGGCATCTCTCGTGAGTGAAAGGGCCATTCCACAAGCAGACACGATGTCCGTGAACACGGCGCACGCCAACAACGGCGTCCTCATTCACGCTGGCGAATGGTGAGTGTTGTGGCGTCATCGGCAGCCAACAGAGAGTGGACGGCGATAAAATTGCGCAGCTCTCCTGCCATTGTGTCACAAGCAAAGCTCCAAAGATCCGATGGCAAAAAGAGTTGTGGAATTGCACAACGCTCGGAATGCATCAGTGTTGAAGTGATTGTGGCAATCGAGGGAGAGTTGCATGACTCTCTTGTCCATCCATCTGCCACACTTTCGCTGCTGCTGCTGACCCAGTGGAAAACACCCAGAATCTCTCTCTCTCTCTCTCTTCCAGCATTCTCCTCTTCAGCGACAGCGTGTCGATGGAGTTTTCGGGCCAGAGCGGACCCATGTTCAAGGGCACCAAAGTCGGCCGCTGCTATCTCACCACGCACAGGTTGATCTTCAACAACGGCAAGGCCGCGGATCCGCTGCAATCCTTCAGTTTCCCCTTCGTCGCGCTCAACGACGTGAGTTTTCTTCGCCTGTATTTCAGTTGTGCTTCTGACGTTATCGATTCGTCAGTCAATTCGAGAACGTCTCAAGAACGTCTAGAAGATTCTCTGGAGATCTCGCACAGAAGCTCGAAAAGCACAATTGCACGTCGGATCTTATCATTCTAGCTTAAATCTCTTAGAAAGTCGTTGACATGTGCTTATCATCCTTGTGTTTATCCACAATCTTACACAATTTTGAGCAGAAAGAATCTGCGATCGTTTCTATTTGGATAATAGCCTAGAATTGTCCTCAAAATCTAAAGTTTCTCGTACGAAACTTAGGATGTACACTGGGAAAAAAACATGGCTATTTTTGCCATAATTATGGGAATATCCGTGATACATTCTCAATTGCATTACAATATTTCACAATTTGATAGGAGATTATTGCCATATTTCAAAAGAAAAGTTATTATCTTTCCAAAAACTGGACTTGCCATAAATTATGGCACAAATACTTGCGTCATTAAAACACACAAGCAGTCAATAAATATGGCGCATGGAAATATCCTTTGTGCCAATGGCTAAAGACCACAATTTTATAGATATGTCAGTAAAAGTTAATGATTTCCAACAATATTGTAATTATTCCTAAAGTCCGGCACGCAAACCTATAAAAAGACTATAAAAAATATTTTATATACGGATTATAGTAAAAAAAATGTAAAAATTCATGCTATAATTGCCATAAAAATGGCAGAAAAGCTTTGAGAATTTATGTTTTTTTAGTGTAGCTTAAAGATTAAGCTTCTTCATGAATTGTACAATATGAGCGCAATAGTAGAGCGTCGATAGTATAATTCCACTGAGAGTCTGTCTAGTGTTAAGGACGTCACTGCGCGCTGCAATTCCTTCTCAGAATTCTCTCTAATCACCTTTCTGAGCCCACAAATGACATTGCGCTTTCGCAGGTGGAAGTGGAACAGCCCGTTTTCGGCGCCAACTACATCAAGGGCAAGGTGCGCGCCCAGGAGAATGGGAATTTCGTGGGCGAGGCGAAGTTCAAGCTGCTCTTTAAGGCGGGCGGCGCCATTGACTTCGCGCAGGCCATGCTGCGCGCCGTGCAGATGGCCAGGCGCCACTATCACCACGACGCGCCGCCGCCTTATGAAGCGCCCTCGGACGATTGGTACGCGGCGCCGCCGCCGGCCTACAGGCCCAATCCGACTGGGTACTACGGCTGGGTGCCGCAGGCGGCGGCGTTCCCCAACCAGCCGCCGCAGGACAGTGTCTTCATGTCGCCCAATCCGCCTCCTTATCCAGGCATCGCGCCGCCGTCCGGCGGTCCCGGCGCAGCTGGCGGTTTCGGCTATCAGCCGCAGCAGCAGAGCAACGGATACCCAGGACCGGCTGGCGGCTATTCAGGCTACCCCGGCGCCCCGCCCGGCTATCCTGGCCAGGCCGCCGGAGGCTTCCAGCCGCCGCAGGGAATGGGATGGCAGACGGGACCTTCAGCACCCGGATATCCAGCGCCAGGCGGCTATCCATCGGCCCCCAGCGGCTACCCATCCGCCCCCGGCGCCATGGGCTTCGCGGCACCACAGCAGCCGCCACAGAGTAGATTCTCGTGAAGTGGATTTGAAGATGAGTTTAACCGCAACGCCATGTCTTTGCAGATTCAAAGGAGGCCGAAGCCGCCCAGAGCGCCTACTACGATCCCAATCAGCCGCAGACGGCATACGTGCCGCCGCCGCCAGCTTACTATGTGAGTCACGGAGAAATGAGCGAGTTTACCCGCTGAAGCCTAATCCCTGAAACTCCTCCATTTGCAGGAACAGCCGCCGAGCTACAACTCAGTGGCGAAGAAGCTTCAGTAAATAAAAGAATCTTCACGGCTTTCATCTTTGTCGTGCGCCTTCTCAACGATAATAAAGACAGCAAGCAAGGCTGATGAATTGCCCATGAAGCGCGCGAATTGGGATTAAAAAGAAAACAAACTATTTTACTACCACTTTAATCAACCGCATATTATTGTGTCTTTGGAAGCAATTGTCCTGTTTACTATGCGTGAAAAAAAAACATTAGCACTACTATTGAGATGTTTATAAACTCTTTGTATATTTTATGTATAGTTGCAAATGTTATGAAAAGTATTACAAGTCCTACAAAATGGTAAGAAAGACACTTTCTATTGGCATCTGACAGAAATGCTTGCGCCGCGATATTGCCTGCTCGCAGTGCTTCTGACCAGAACTGCACTCCTTCCCCACTTTTGGCCACTCCCAATCACTGCCCGCAAGCCATTGAGGGTGATGTAACCAATGGCGGAAACTGTGGAATCGATGAAGGAAAAGTCAGACTGTGTTACATACCCAATCACCGTCCTGGAGCACTGATCCTTGACGCTGGTGGGATGCTGAGGCAGCCACAAATCCTCCATCTTCCGCTTAAACTCATAGCACGCTGAGACAACAATCTGTGATCTCTCCTTTGGGATCTTCACCTTCTCCACTGACTTTTCCTGCAGTTTCTGCTTCAGTCGCAGCCTCAGTCTTCGCTGGCGCTTCAGGAAGCGCTTGTGATTCTTGCGCAGCTTATTCCTGGCCTTCTGCTGTGGATCCTTCGCCAGCGGTTCGGTGTGAAGAGCTCCACACTCACCTGAGTGAATCTTCTCCAGTTCCTGTGCCGTTGGCAGTGCAATGAGTGCGCAATTCCCAGGATTTCCGCGGGAAACCATCCGAATACACACAGGAATCAGGACACTCTCATCCAGATGCACAGCTTCCATGGGCAATTGATGTCTCATTACCTTCTGACATTGCTCAAGAATTCTGCGATCGCGCAAAACGTACAATTCTGCGGATTTTCCTGACCACTCGTCAATCAACTGCTGCCACGGACACTCAAAGGGACTCACAATGGAGAGTTTTGTGTAGTTTACTCGCTTCTTGGCGGGCTTCCGGAAGTACTTTGTCCTCAATTCCTCCGCCTGTTCAGTGGCTTCTCTCCGTCCGGCCGGAGTGTCAGGAGCAAAGGCATCTCTTCCCAATTCTCTCAATGTGGAGACACTTTCTCGCCATCCTCCAGCTCGAGCGCCCCACATTATCAATGAAATCCACGTGAGCACTCCATATCCTTCAGTCACAATCACATCCCAGCCACTCGCGAAGCCCTGCAGAGATCCCGGCCTCTGGACGAGCAGCACTGGCACTGCCTGCAGATCTTCCTCGAAGGAACACCTCTGGCCAGGCGCCAAGCCTTCAATTCTTCTCCTCTCGCTGTACTTCTCACTATTCATGATGCCCGCCGGCAGTTTGTCCCTCAAAGTCTCATCCCACAGCGGACTCGAGTTGATCATTGGCGGGATTCTCACTTCTTGCACACTCGTGACATCCGGAATGGCCTTCGATCGCTTCTCCGGTCGATTCAGTCGCGGATCTTCCACAACAAGCCCCAAAATCATGCCTGGCGGCAACTCAGCGGGCGACGAGAGATCAGCAATCCTCGTCCAATACTGCATTTGGACGCCATGAGCTTCTCGGTTGAATTCCGTGGAGTCTATTTGAGGATTCTCCTTGCAGTGCAGCGCGTGAGTGAGAACAGAGTGAGAAAGAGGTCCAGTTAAGCGAAATCTATTGATTTTCTGGCCCAAATCCCGAATCTGGACGCTTCCTGGCACGAAGAGCTCTTCCAATTGGCACACAGTATCCTTAAGGTGAGACGGATGGATGAATATCCAGAGAACACGCGAAGCTTTCTGGTCAGGAGGCTTCCAAAAGAAGCTCACTTGACCAATGGCACCCAAAGGAAACTTGTCCCGCTCAAAGATGCTCACGATTCCCTCCCTCTGGCCAGACACATAACACTTGGCCGTGAAGGAGAGTTCAGTGGGATTGCAGATCCTCTTCAGCTGCATCGACAAATCTTCCAATCTCCCGCGGATCTCCAGGCAGCTGAGATAGGAAATGTCCTGGATGAGACAGTGCCTCGCTGTGGCACGATAGCAGGCTCTGTAGCTCTTGTCGCAAGGCGCCCAGGGGATCTTGAAGCCCCACTTTTGCACCATGTGAAATCTCTTGGCGTGCCAAATGTGCGTCTCCAGCCAACGACATTTCTTCTGCCTCCTGGCGTACTCCATTCGCAGATTGCCCACGCGTCGTCTGTACTTCCTGCACGGTCGCTTCTTCTCTGTGGGCGTGCCACTCTTCCGCAGCTGCGACAAGTGGCCCTGCCGGAAGCGCACCGGCAATCTCTTGGGATTCTGCGACGCCGTGCGTCTCCGCATGTGCCGCGGCATCGTCTGGAAGATGAGTTTGCTCTTGGTGGGATGCTTGATGGTCCTGATAAGTGTCGCCACTTCCGATAGCCTCTTCTCTGCATACTCAAACACCTTCTCTGTCTCCGGGAGCTCAACGTGGCCCCCGAGAGTGGCGTCATATTGGCAAGATTGCGAGTCCATCTGCAAGATTTCAGCATTAGAAGGAATCTAGGAATATCCATCGATATATTTACATGATCTTTCCCTCACTATATCACTACTTTCTTATCAATTTTATCTAAAAACACTCCACGTGCGCAACTGTTTGTTTTGTCAACAAAGCCAGAAACTGAGGTTATGTGAACCCTTCGGAGGAATGGCGGGAATTTAGGTGATATGAAAGTTTCCAAATTTTCAGGGTTTTTGAAATTTTCATTTTATACAATTTTCGCATGTTTCTGAATGAAAAAAGGCATGAATTGACCTACAAAATAAATCATATAATTAAAAGTTAGTTTCACAAAACATTCACGATACGTTCCGCCATATTCAGCGACTTGAGCCTGGCTTTACCCTAAATAAAGCTAAACCAACTGCTAAAATATCGCAAATTTGAAGCGAAAGTATTGCAGTATGTCACAATATTGTCCCCAATTTCTCTTTATCCAGCACGATCACGAGTAGATAATATAAAAAGGCTTCTATTCGTTGGGAGACGAGTAGTGAATGATCAGATAAAGTGACAATATGTGGAATATTTTAGGTGTTTTCGGTATTTTCCTCATGTTGCCCGTGCTTGGGCAGAATTGCTACTATGACTGGACTGTTCCGGCCACTTCCAGGCCACTTGGCATGCCAAATACGCCCTACATCAGCTACAATGCCGGGCAATCGTGCACGTGGATCGCAAGGGCCAACACTGGCAACATTATTCAGCTCACGTGCAACGTCATCATTGCTGGTGGACTGATGCCAGTGTGTCCCATTGACTACTACGTGGTCTCGCCCACGGGACAGACGGATTTCTCCGATGGACGGAAGTACTGCGGTCAGCAGTCCTTTGTGGAACACTCCAAAGGCAATCGCATGACGATGAAGCTGTATTCCTCCAAGAATTCCACAGGCGGACTCATGAGTTGCTTCATCAAGTCAGTTCCGGATCCTTGCAATTGCGGCAGGAGAAATCGTCCGGTAAGATTGTGGATTCAGGAATGATTGCGAGATCTCTGAATATAATTGGGCACACTTTAGGCACGCATTGTTGGCGGTTCTGAGACGGGAGCCAATGAGTTTCCCATGGTGGCGGCTTTAGTGGAGAGAGGAGACAGCAAGCCTTACTGCGGCGCAGTGATCAGTGAGTTTCTTCCTCATCTTCTGCAGAATCTTAACTCCCACACGCTGATTTCCCCAATCATCTTTCCTAGTCTCACGGTCCCGCGCTCTCACCGTTCGTCACTGCGTGGCGAACAGAACCACAGACTCTTTCGATATGGTTGTAGGGGAGCACTATGTGGCGAGCAACAGTGAGTCAGTCTACGCCAAGATATACACAATATCCGAATACGCGTGCGTTAATGGCTGTGAAGATCGCATTACGAAGTGGGATGACGTCGCCATGGTGAAAACGACCATGGAAATATTCATCAACTACGGCGTGGGGATCACATGTCTGCCCTGGAGGGACTACAAGGAGGATCCCAATGAGTACATGAACCAGAAAGTCGAAGTCGCCGGCTGGGGCTTCACACAGGACAACGGTCAACCAAGTGAAGTCCTCCAGGTTGTCACGCTGGACGTCATTTATCCCGAATATTGCCAGAAACTCTACAACAACCTCACGTCGAACAACATGTGCACCCAGACACCACGCAAAGGCACTTGCGACGGGGATTCCGGTGGCAGCGTCTTCTGGACAGCGCCGGACAACAATCGCCTCTACACAGTGGCCCTTGTGGATTACGGCGTGGATTGCGCTCTCGGTTGGCCAGGTGTCAATGTCAGAGTGGCGCCAAATCTGCAGTGGATCCTTGAGAATGCACCCGAATCTGATTTCTGTATTGTCTAAAGAAATTTCCATCATATGTGCGCGTAATGCTGGCTAATGACTAAGGTCATTATCACAGATAATAAAGTAACACAAATTGCCATTGGGCATGATAATATGTGGGAAATGGTAATATTTCCGCAATCATGTTTCACAAATGAAGTGAATTTCAAGAAAATTTCTCCCCTCATCCTCTTCGAAAAGGGCGCATAATTTCGAATTTTCGAATTTCACCCGTTATCCCACCATTCTTCACCGAAAAAATCGCGTCTCATCTCATGACCTTCGAAAGAAAACACTCAAAATGCTGTTGATCTTGGGAAATTGCTCACCTAGACCTGTTTATCAGTGTGTAATCTCTTTCTAAACATTCTCGTGACGCCCAAATTACACTTTAAAAGGGAAAACATTGTGTGATAAGGTATAATAAATGCCAATAGAAAGAGAGCCATAAAGTTGGAGTTTGCATTGAATGAAAGTTGCTTGTATTAAGCGATTCTCTCCTACCTTGACAAATTCATTCGCACATCACATTATCACTTTTATCAACTGATAAAACACAGAGATGACAGTGACGAAATCATCAATTGCCAATTCAAATGAGGAAAAAATTTGTGAAGAAATTCACATTTTTGTCGGCTTCTTTAGCAATTGAATAAATATTTTCCCTTAAATCGGTTGTTTTTCCATTTGGAAAAACAACACTTTATCACAGGTTTGTGAAGAACACGAGGAAAATACATATCAATATAGAACAAGTAAAAGTTTGTCAATTTAGGCCTCGTGGAAATATTTTTTCTTTTCTTCGTGTGTGTGGAAAAAACTCTGTATTCAAGCAAAGAAATCCTTCATTTATGTGGAAAAGAGAGCATGAAAAACAGCCAGAAAAGACACAAGTTGACACATGAAAATTGTGGTGTAACGACACCAATAAAAGCCAAATTGATAAATGTGATAAGAAATTAAAATATTATAAATTTCGTGGTACTACAACAGAGATACAGAGGAACATTGTTCCCATTTGCTCAAACACTTCTTTGAGGGGGCGAAACGACAGCCAATATAAAGGGGCGCTAGCGAATGCCAGTGACTTCAGTTGAGGTTTTCGTGGAGGAAAAGTGATTGTGTGTTATTTGAGAAAATGTGGATTATCGGTGAGAAGAACACTTTTTAGAGAGAAAGAGTGAACATGCTCGAATTCTTAGCTTTTTTCCCCCTTTTGTGTTTTAGCACTTATTTGCGGCCTTGTTCTGCCTTCCGCATTGGGACAGGCCTGCAACTATGCTCAGAACGTTGGTACAACGCCAACTACGTTCTCGATCAACCAATCTGGAACCTACAGTGGAGGAGCACAGTGCAACTGGTATGCCACCGCCAATCAGGACTATCGCATCAAGCTGACGTGCTTAATCAATGTTCCCAACGGAAATTCGGGCTGTCCGCAGGATTACCTCTCCGTATCGCGCACAGGCAGGACGGACTTCGCCGACGGCTACAAGTACTGCGGACAGGGCAGTTTTACGGAGTATTCCACCTACAATCAGATGAGCATCAGGCTGTTCTCGCAGTCCTACTCGGCCGGCGGAAGTTTCTCCTGCACCATTCAAGCTGTCTTCGAGCCTTGCAATTGCGGACGAAGGAAGAGTGTAAGTTGTACGATATTCTCCACAGTTTTAACCCTTTTTCATCCCAAGAGTGTAGATCAGCGCTTCTTAGAAGCGTTTCTTAGAGTTTCTAGCCAACTATTTGAAGTGTTTGTGCTTTCTTTCCTATTCGTCTATATTTTGGAGCGATTCTCAGTCAAACAGAAAATGTTAAAAATATGTTATTTTAGTTTTTTTTTTACCTTCAAGCTGTTCAATCTTAGCTGTATGTAAAAGCATAGCGACAGATCGGAAGCTGCAGAATAATTTGCAAAGATTGATAAATCTGCAATTGTGGCTCTAATTTTCAAGCATAAACATGAATGATGGGACTTCTGTAGCCAACGCACTGGACTCTCGATGCGACAGTCTTGTGTTTGAATCCCACCCACGATTACAAATGTTCGAACACAGAAGAGTGTAAAATTAGACCTTTTAATGGTAAATTATAGCAGTCAAAATGGGTTGCTGTTGAGTGTTCCAGCTGAAACATACGCTTCACTGGAATTATTTTGTGCTCTGTCTCTGTATAAATAAAGATGGACGATAGAACCACGAATGTTAAATTCTTACATTTTTGAAGTTTAACATTCCTGTGTTTGACTGGGAATTGATTAACATTTTTGGTGAAATTATCACACGTCTTTCCATTGCAGACTCGCATTGTTGGCGGCGTGAATGCTGGTATTAATGAGTTCCCAATGGCAGCCGCTCTTGTGGATCTCACGACAAAACAGATTTTCTGCGGAGCCACAATCAGTGAGCACATCCTGATTTTCACACACTTCGAATTCCTGGCATTTACACATTCTCTCTCTCTCTTTTCCTTCAGTCTCCAACTGGCGAGTCGTGACGGCACAGCACTGTCTCGGTGGCCAGACGCCAAGCAATGTGGGCGTCCTCGTGGGTGAATACGACACCAGCACTGGCAGTGACACTCCCTACACTGCCCTGTACTCTTCCGAGTCCTTCGTGTGCTACACCAACTGCAACACGAATCCCAATGGCCAGAACGACATTGCCCTGATCAAAACAAGGACTGAGATCCAGATGAATCCGGGTGTGGGCATCGTGTGCCTGCCATGGAAGTACGCCACCAACACTGCCAACCAGTTCGCCGGCGCGACAGTGGAAGTGACTGGCTGGGGAGATCTCGACTTCGGCGGCCCCGGCACGAATGTGCAGCAGAAGACGCGTCTGTCTGTGATCACGCAGTCAGCGTGCCAGAGTGCCTTGGGCACCACGATCACGGACGCGCGCCAAGTGTGCACATACGGCCAGGGAAACACCGACACGTGCCAGCGCGACTCAGGCGAGGGACTGCTGTACACTGGAGACAATGGACGCCTGTACGACGTGGGCATTGTCAGCTTTGGCGATCAGTGCGCACTGGCGAATCGCCCCTCCGTCAACACCAGGATGACGTACTACCTTAACTGGATAATTACCAACTCACCAGAGTCCAGATATTGCAGTATGTAGAGAGATTTGGGTGAAATACATTGACTTGACTGTTAATCTTGTTTGTCCCTGGCGGGGAGGGAGATGAGTATGATCCCGGTGAGGATGAGAGATGTGCCAAACCACCAGAGAAGCGTCGTGCTTTCCCCGAAGATCATCCAGCCCAGCAGAGCCTGATGAATATCACTGGAATTAGAGAGATACTCACAGATTCTGACACCAGGATTACTCACTGAGGCGAAGTAGTTGGTGCCTGAGCTCACGCTGGTGGCCACGACGCTTCCGCCGCCCGCGTGAAGAGCCTTCACGAAGAATGTCCACACGAGAGCGTTCAGCACAATCATCAGAATCAAGCAACAAGCCACGACTGTCCAACCTAGGAAGACCTGCAAATTGATTGTCAGTGTGTTCATGTATTCACTACACATCGTGACACGCACCTGGGTTTCCACTGTGCTGGACAATTTGCCAAAAACCGACGCTCCCGCGGCACACAGACCCGCAAGAATTGCAAACATCGCTTTTTGACAGCTTTGCACAACGTTTCTCCTCTTTTCCGCCACGCGGCGCACGTGTCAACGCTGGGGAATTTAAACGCCGCCCAACGGTTGATTTGATCACAAGCAGGAAATCCTGCGGAACAGAGGACAATCGGAGGTAGAAGCAGTGATTCTTACACACTCTAAGCTGACATTCTCACATTTATTTGCAATCTGACAGAAAGTACTCTGTTGTCTACAGAGAGAGAAAAACACGGACATTTCACCGGAAATCGAGAGCTTCAGTCACTGGTCAGGGACTCACGCGTCCCTGGCAGCTTTGTCTCACCTCTTGGCGCGACAGACGCTCTTATTGCGCCGCCTCTGACGCATGTGAACCCTTAGTTTGCGCCCCGAAGCGAAGGATACGCCGCAATTCTTGCACTGACATCCTGGCGGCGCGTCTGACAGCTTCCTGGCCATGCGAAGATCCCGAGCGGAGGTGGTGGGAGAGCTCTTGTCCATCCGGGGCGCCTCTGGGGGATCCTTCGTGGGGGAGATTGTGCTTTTTGGCGGACTCTTAGCTGCTCGAGTGATTCCGGAAGCCTTGGAGGACTTCCTGGAGCTGGATTTGGGCGCCAGTTTGGGTAATTTCGCCATGAGACGCTTCGTAGTGCCGTCCGGTGACACTGGACGCTGCTCCTCCACGACCACCGGCAGAACTGGGGGAATCTTCTGACACTCTCGCGGTGCTTCGCTGACTTTCACGGTGTTCACAGCTTGTCCGGCGCCCTCCTGAAACTTGTACACATTGGGCGGCGCGTGCAGCACGAGATGTGTGTTGAGGAGTTCCAGCACGCTGAACATCTCAAAGCAGAAGATGCACCGGAATAGCTTAATTCCGCCGTGGAGCTGCAAATGGTGCTCCAGTGAGTGTTCATTGGTGAATCTGTCACCGCAGACGCGACAGAAGAAGGGCTTCATGTCCAGATGATCGCGCAGGTGAATCTCCAGCTGATCCTCCGTGTGATACCAATTCTCGCAGTACTCACACTTCATCAGATTCCTGTCCACATGCATTTGCGAGTGAATCTCGTACGCTTCCATCGTCTTGAAGTACTTCTCGCAGTACTGACAGCTGAACATCACGGCCGGAATCTCCTCCTCCAGGTCATCCCCTGACTCTCCAGCATCCACGAAGATGGACGCTTGGACGACAATCTCTCTGGAATCATCACTGCCGCAGGACGCCTCCATTGCTGCCCACGCAAAGCGCCTCTTTGGTACTCGTCACACGCGGGACACACCCAGACTCCCGATGGCACAACACTCAGCACACCCTGACCTTCTCCTGGCTGGCAAAGTAGCTCCTGAAAAACTCCCGGATCGCAGCTCGTCTCCCTTGACAGCTTTGTTTTTATTTGGTGTTGCCCGATGTGCGCGAGGGCGCCACTGCTCGTCGGCCGTCGCGTCTTCAGTAGTCGCTCGGCCGTCGTCGCGAGTGGTTGTGCCTTCGTTTGAGTGTTCTCTGTCTGTGCTCCGCCCTCCGCCTGTCAACGGTGCATCCCCCAGCACCCCCGCGAGTGAGAGTCTGCGTGCATTTGAGGGGATTCGCAATGGAATGTTGTCTCACGCCGTGTAACGGTGTTTCGGGATAAGAATAACTGGTTTCACTGACGGATTTTTAGCCTCTTTGCCAACACTTTTCACACCTTTTCCACACACAAGGATAAACACACGGATAAACGAAGGGACGCGAAGACACCGGAAGGACTCGGAAACACTGTGGAAGAAGGTAAATAGAGTGGTTGAGACGCTGTGACCGCAAGAAATGCCTGCGTGAACACCTGAGAATGAGACTCTTTGAGATTTGGAAGTGAATTCTTGCGAAAGAGCCTGGAAAGTCGGCTGAAAAGACTTTATTTTATGAGTGCGTTTCAATGATAAATTGCGGTTTCTTTTCGTATTAGAAATTCATTGAAAATTAAGTTGAAAAGTGTGCGTTTTTTAAAGGGTTTTATGCTTGGTACAGATTTGAGGTTTAGCTTTAAGCTTAGATGACTCAGATTATCAGTTATCATTTTGTCTTATGACAAATAATAGAAGTTCATAAGACTGTCTGTTTTATTTACTTGATAAAATGAAAATATCAACATTCTTTAAGTGTGTTAAAATCCAAAATTGTTATGTTTTGTTGAAAATATTGAGAATATTTGAGAAAAGTTCGTGATGTTTTCAAGTTCGTGAAATTACAAACGTAAAAATATATTCTCAACTTCATAAAATGACGACAGAAAGTTTAATATCGCGTGTCGTTTGATAATCTACGGTCATTAAATGGACAATTCTTACGACAATTAAACTCTTTTGAACGAAAGTCACAAGATTTAGATTTTCACATGAATTTTATGGCTTATCTTGAAACGTTTAAGATCTCGTAGAAATTATGAATCGTAATCTTGCAACAACCCCTAAATTAATTCATTTCTGAGCATATCTTCTGATCACTGCCGGAAAAACTTCTTGTTTTCCCTGAAAACCCCTTAATAAATCATGTTTAGTGTTTTGTCGTTGAGATTTTCCGCAAAATTTCTCCCTCAGCCGCCATTCGATAGCGAAGAGGGGCAAAAAGAGACCCATAAAATGGAGAGAATGTTGTTGAAACAAATTGGCTGGAGAGATCATTCTTGTGGCACATTTTTCCACTTGGTCTCCCTCAAGTGGCTGCCCAGAATAAATTAACCCTCTGGCGTGCGGACAAAGGAGAAAAAAGCCCGCATCGCGGTGACTTCTTCCGGGAACTCTGCTGAGTGACATTAGAATTCTATGGCCGAGGAGAGGAGATTTTCTCCGGCATTTCAATACGATCGTCTTCTGTGCATAAATTGAGCGTGTGTTTTGGTGAGAAAGCGCCGCAGAATCGCGAAGGTTATCCGCTTCAGGGGAGAAAAAACAAGTTTTCTTCTTATAAATACAAAAATTATATAATAGAATTTCTACGCGAGGTTTTTGGTTGGAATTAGGAAGTCTCATCTGCGACATGTGAAGATGTATATTTTGGCGATGCCACAGAAAATCATGTGAATTTAACATGTTTTCTCATGTGCGCGCATGGAAAGATTTAATAAAACATTATGTGAGGTGATGTAATTTGACACTTTTTGAACTTTTTCGCAGCGAAGCGATGACTTAAATCAGAAATTAAGTCACTGTGACGAATTTTTGCCAACAATTTTTTGGAGTCAAAGTATCGCAATTTTTATAATAATTCTCACACTTGAGAGAATAATAAATAATTGCAATGCAGGGAAAATGAAATTCACTTTAAAGTGCAACGCAGGAAAATCGCGCGTGATTTCTAGGCAAGAATGTTTTTCTATTGATACCATCAATTTGTGAGTTTGTAAAGAATTTAGCACATTTAGCGAAGAGAGAGGAAAACAGAACAAATTGTGTTGCCTTAAACCCAAGAACTGTTGAGGAGATCGAAAAATTCCCCTCAATTTGCTCTCGCTTGGACAACAGATGGTCTCAACATTCTGGAGCCGTGCAGAAGATGAACTCTGTGTTGGGCGGAAATTGAGAGACTTTCAGCCGGATCTCAATTCAGTCCCTGTTCAATTTTACCTCACGATCGTTCATCCGGAACCTTTTCGCTCTTTGTTTGATTTTCCGTCCCGCAGAAACACCTGCTTTGGCTGCTAAATAAAAAAAAAACACAGGCAGACTCGAAAATGCGCAGTGCAGGTTTGACAAAAATATACACAGAGTGAGAAGGAAAGTATTTATTGGCATAAATTCTCAGGTTGAAAATGAATGCCAAAAAATGCTGTATTTTAGTTGAAACACAATTAAATTTCAAGGCAAAAGCGTTGTCGAAGCAAAGTACATTAAAGAAACCTTTTTTAGAGCGATTACAGACAGGAGAGAATTCTTAGCAGATTTGATGAATTTGCCACGCCCATGAAATTGCTCCGCCCCTCTTGATAGCATGAGAACATTGCGAAGTTAGTCATATTTTGAAGGGTTTTGAAGTGAAATCGAAAGGCAAAAATACGATTTTTCTCACAATAATTTGCTTTACAAATAAACCTTCACAAAAACCAATACTTTTCACACTTAATGTCAGTCAATATACCATTTGAAGCTTCAACAGAGGTCTTTAAGCGGTGTTTGATTGTATTTGTAATTACTTTCATTGCACAGCATATGATTTTTATGTATTGCCGCATGATTTATGTATGAAAATCTCAAAAATTCTTCACTTTTCCAGCCCTTCTTCTTATATTATTTTTAATATTTTTGCACGTGGCTGTAAAATGTCTTTAATGACTTGGAAAAGTGCGTTGAATTCCTTATGAAAATATCAAATTCACTATTCACAGTTTCAGCGCATATTTTATAGAGAGAAATTAGTTAGTCTTGATCATTTCTTGCCTCTTAAAATCTTTGTATTTATGAGGTGGGATTATAATTTCTCAGTGGACAACAGTCCGTTAGGCAAACGGCTAAGAATATTATATTGTATAGTATTGAAATTTTGAGCCACTTTCCAGCGGAATTCTTCCGCACGAAGACGAGTTGTGTTTATAAGATGATTTATGTGCGTCGATGAATGAATTTGAGGGACGAACAAGCTTCGCAATCACATCAATTTTACCTCGTTATCGCTGAGGAAAACGATTATGTTCGCTTCGCGTCTCTGGATTTACAGTGAAAACATGGCACTTATTCACACATTATATTTGCCTATGGAGAGTTTTGTGTGTGAATTTGTGTGTATTTTTACTTATAAACCCAATCCACGTGCCTCTGCCATTTTTATGCCTTGTCTCTGTGCGCGAGGAAATGTTTTGGCATCACGTGAAAATGACGTTGGGAAATTTGTGTCACACACTCTTCAAAATGTTATAATAGAAAATCACTTGCAATTGATCAAACATATTTCTCATGAAAGATTGTCGATCACGCTGTTGATTGTATTGAATTGTTTTCTGACTATCGCGACAGCCTTCAAAGACTTTTCCTCACGAAATGATGATTGTTGTTTTGGCGTTTTTGGGTGCGATTGTGTGACGCTTTTGAGTGGCTTTCAGATAACTTCTGCTGTATCTTGACCGGTATTTTAGAGCTAAGACCCCAAGACGCAGCTCTGTATCGACATGCGGTTTTTCAACCGCCATTTTGAAGACTCATAAAATACAATTTCCTCATTTGTTTAGTCCCTATTGCATGAATTGATCTCAAATATCAACGTGTTATAGCTGTCGTCAAGACCTTTCCAACGTTACCACACTTAAGGCTCTAAGTCCTTCCAAATCCTGGATATAAGGGATCAAAATTTGAAACTTTAAATACCCATAACCATAACTCGAAAACGGAACGATGCATTTTCTTCAAATTTCAATATGTTGTAGCTGAGAATAAGACCTTTCCAACGAACCCTTTCTTATGGTGAAAACACAGCATTTGTAATTTGTAATTTGTCCACGATCATCTCTTTCTTCCCCACGCGTTTTGTGTATTTTCCTTCCTACTCGCACAGTGGCTGTCTCGACATGTCAGAGTCGGACGCTGACAGAGTAGGAAAGAAAATACACGAAACGCGAGGGGAAGAAAGAGATGATCGCGGACAAATTACAAATTACAAATGCTGTGTTTTCACCATTATGAATTAAAAGTAAGTTCAACACGTTGTTTAGCTCATGAAGTCGAGCTTGGTTTTTTTCCTCAAATCAATTAGCAACGCGTTGAGTTCACTGTTTTCTGGAGAAAAGTTTATTTGTCAGCTTTATTTGGGGAGTTTTTCAAATGAATTCTACACCCACGCAAAATTCCCGCACTATCTTCAGGAGAGTTGAACTGATAAGAGGGAATTCCAATCGTGAAAACACTGGACTTTCAGTCTAAAGCCGCGCAAAGCTTGAGAAAAGAACAGCGTGAGAAGAGGAGGAAGAATGTAAAGAATGCACACTGTGAAGCAATTGAAAGTCGTGCAAAATGGCAATTTTTGCCATGAACTTGATTTACGCGCGAGATTTTTGCCACAGAGAATGCTTCAATGAAAGTCTCTCTCTCTCTCTAAATGATGAAAATTTCTCCATGGCAATCCAGAAAAGAGAATGCCAACTGGCAAGAGAGGGAGACAGAGATCAATCTATTTCTAGCCTCACTCTTGAGACATTTGATCTTTCCACAAAGCTTGAAAATTGATCTACTTCGTGTTCTCAATTTGACCATTCATTTTGACGGAAGGTTAATAATTGTATGCAAAAAATATTGGTGGTTTATGGCGAAATAAAGTGAAAGAATCTCTTTTGCGTCAGCAATTTGAAGAAAATACAACACAATTTTGAGTGAATTTTTTTCTTTTTTTCTCTCTCCAAAAGCTATTTTTAATAGTAAAATTGCTTCTTACATTTCAACTTCTTTCTCTTCCGCTCTTTTATGCTCATCATCATCATCGGTTGTCGTTGGTTTTTCCCTCAGCGTCTCTTGGGTTACTCTTTGAGTTCATTCACCTTCGACATTTTGCATGCAAGAACCGGTGAAAAAAAAAGTGTCTGCTTTCAAAGTCTCTCAGCATGATTAGGGAGAAGAGAGAGAGAGAGAGAAGATAGCAAAGAAATCGATACACTGCAATGATTTGGACATGTTTAACTGTCCACATTGGGTTATGTTGCCATTTTCGATGAACTTGTTGATCGTGTTCTCTAGTTCTTGAGATTGTGTGATGTAATTAAAAGTCTGCTTTGGCCTTTTTTTTCTATGCCTCAAAACTTTTACACTCACTTGTTGCTGTCTTTGAACTTTCTATTTTAATAAAATATGAGGTGCGAGACATTCATCAATCTCTGACACTTTTGAGGTCTCCCTTAAGTCTCAGATTTCTCTGTGGAATGCCTGCTTTCCACCCACAAAGCTTCCAATGTGTAGCGACGAGCGGGGCCATTTGTCTTGGCTGAATTACTTGGTTATGAGCTTTCCAGGAAATTCCAACGATTTACATTCGGGCTACAATTTTTCAGTTATTTTAAGAGTGAAAGATCAAAAGGAGAAGGCCGCCATGACAGTGGCATTCCCGCCACAAGTTCTCCAGGGATACCAATTTAGCAGGGATTGGTGTTTTGCCGGTTGATTTAAGGAATTCGACTTACATAATGTAGCCTTTAGAGACCTTCAATTGCACGATGGTTTCATTCTTTGTCAGAATTTACTCCTGTCCCCTTCTGCCCCGCTCTCCCCTATGTATGACTAAAGATTTCACTAATATACAAATTCAGTTTTGCTGATGATCAGACTTTTTTTCTCTCTCTCGTGCGCGAATGTCTTTCAATGCCAAATTCGACGTGGAATTTTCACATGAGATCAAGTCTCAAAACAATACCATTTACGGGATGAATTGACTGACACGTAGATTGAGATTGTATGGCAAAAGAGAGAGAAAGAGAACAGGCGCACTTTGTTCTCAAAATGAAGATTTAATTGATTCTCATTTGGGGAGATCAAAAAGGTGAGATTGAATGTTGAATTTTGCACTTTTTCGTTCAGAATTGGACGAAAATGCTCAATTTAGTATGTTGGGTTATTAGAATGAAAAACTGTATCGCAACGCGAGATGAGGCTGAAATTGGCCATTTCACTCGTTGACTTTCCAAGTACAAAAGGCCAGCATGATTAAATTGTCAGTGAGATGGCGAAGGAACGCCTCCAAAAGTGTATGTCTGTTGATCTTTTGTCTGCGGGATCACGAAGGCGCGCGCGGCGTTCATCTTGATGAAATTAAGTGGCTCTCTTTCATCTGACTTTGCCCCCTTTGCGTGACACATTCCAAAGTGATCGTTTCCGGTTCATTCCCTCTCAATTTTTGACTCAACTTCACGAGGAGCCAACACAACGGTGAGAGAAGTCGCAAAGGAAAATGGAGCAAAGTGAGGAGAATTGTGAAAAATTCCATGTGAATTTCTCACATTCTCCACGATCTTTCATCATATTTTTTTTGTATTCTCTCATTTTGCAGTTACAACAATCTCTGACTTCGCATTCATCTCTTCGTGTGTCTGTGTGTGTTTGGATGAAGTGCATTTTCCGCTTGTTTATTGCCATTTTGCTGGCATGAATGAAATTATATATTTTGTATGTCTCTTCTTCGTCAGTGTTTCTTTTTTTCCGTGTGTCTGTGTAAAATGTGTCACTCCCGTCAAGATATATCTTGTGACTTTTGCAATTGTTACTTTCAATTGTAATTCTCATTAGAAATGGAGATTTTTGCGTGTTATACTTCATATTTGACTAATTGTGGTTGGAAGTACAAAAAGGGGAGAGTTTTCTGTGAGAGCAAAATGAGGGTCAATAAACTTTCATTATATCTTATTGTTTTTCCCTAGTAAGAATCATCTCTGTTGTCTTTCTCTACTTAGAATTATGTTTCCGAACACAATCCCACTTATGAAATATAGAATAGTACTTGGGAGATTTTCTACTTTCTGAATAGTCTGAATATTTACTTCTGATCTTGAAATCTTTGTTCAATGTAAAAAATTTCTGTTTATTATTGTGAGAACAGCATTAGATGGGCGGAGCATTTGAGTGGGCGGGACTTTATAATTGCATGAAGAACATAATTATTTCAAGATTATTAAGCTATTTCAACTACTTTACGATTTATCACTTATAATGCGCTCTAACTAGCATTTCCATACTTCTCTGCGCACCTCAGCGACCTCAAATGGTTGGAACACAGACGTGAGATAGTGAAATTCATTGCAATCATTGACAAACTGATAAGATAATTAATGTTTTTTGCGCTCTTCTCCAACTTTGCCTGGTGAACAATGATAAAAACATTGTATTTTCACGCACTTTTTGCAGGTCAACCGGAAGATTGTTCGTTCTCGGATAACTCTAAATTGCAAATTTTCCCTTTTCTTACTATCCATTCTATTTCTATCAGTTCGAGAGTGGCGTGTGAGTGTGTGTGTTTATTCTGAGGTGTGCGAGCGATGCGGGAAGAGTCGTTAATTAAGAATTCACATCTTCTATGGCGCAAGGAAAAAAGTGTGACAATGTTTCTCTTCTTGGTTTCAATTGTTTGTAAATTTTGTGTCAATTCCAGTGAGTTCTCAGTGTGTTTATGTGGCTGTGTGTGTGTGTTTATTTGCTTTGTGAGATCGTCTTCAGTCACACGAGACACTTGTCCAAAGCCAACGGGGAATTAATGAAAATATAAACTCACAAAAGTATGGCGTTTGTGAAGTCTTTAGAGAGTTTTGCAGTTGATCTCAAATTAGGCTGTAATTTGGCACACAATAAGAGTACTTTTCACCCTTTTTGCAGCTTATGATAATATTGATTTCATACCTGAGCAATAAAAGCTCGCTTATCGATGATGTCAGTGAGCAAAACTGTCACTATCGCTAATTTCTGTTCATTTGGTCCCTCTTTCTATCGTTTCAGATGACAACTTTGATGAATTTCTTGTAGAAGGAAGACAAGAAGTGTTTTGGTAAAAAGGGCTAAAGTGAAGTTGAAGGATTAACGATGATGAATGGATTTCGATTGAGTGAAAATGACGGTGATGCAAAGGCACAGAATTCACTTAAGCCACCACTCGCACTCAGGATAAATGGGAGTGAAAAATCTACGGAAATACGAGAGAATTTTGCTGGTGAGTCAAAAAAAAACTTACAAAATCTCCCTCATTTTAGAGTTAATTTCCCCCCCAAATCAATTTGGGTACTTAAGTGGGTAATTTACGAAGAAAAATTTCACTCAATTGCAATCTGTGCATATTTAGAGGGACACAATTTGGGTTTTAAAGATGGAAACTTTCTACCGGAAAACACATGAGAAAATCCGGAGAAAGAGTGGTTTTATTTCGTTTGAAAACTTCACGGATCAGTGGCACGAAAGTGAGACAGAGAAAGAGAGAGAAAAATGTTGCCTTCGTGGGTGAATTTTTTTTTGTAAGTGACTTAATATTATGAGCTCGAAATCGAAACCACTTTGCAGAGGAAGACATAAAGCGAATCATCTATTAATTAAATCATCTTTTTTCATTGTGTAATGCCAATAAAGCCACAACGCGCGGGGCATCAATGAATTCAATATGAATGGCTTCAATGTATTAATAGCCCAGCGAATAAAAATAGCTAAAAAAAAGCAGTTAATTCAGCTAAAAAGTGTTAAGATTACTGAGCTAAAATTTGAGCAGCGCTCGTACAAAAAGTGCGAAGCCGAAGTATTGAAATGGAATCGATAAAGCGATCGCAGCGGACGATGAAGGAAACTCAATAGTGTTGAAAATACATCAATTGAGCTTTTTTCTGATATAGAACGAAGTATATTATTGAAATGGCACAGTTTTACATGATGCGACATCTGTGCATTCAAGTGCGCATCTGTACTTTGACTGGTCGCCGCTACGTTCGCTATTGAATCAACCGAATGGCTAAAATTTGAGCAAATAACAGCACAAAAATTAACTAAATCAAGCTCAACTTTCGAGATTTAGCATTTTGTGTACACTGGGAGGGAACTGCTTCTTTTCTTTTATGTGAGTAGCAAAATAGTGTGTTTTGAGAGACAGAAAAAGAGAGAGAAAAATTGAAAAATAGGGAGACGAAGAGCGCCACAAATCCACCCACTGTTGAAACGGAACAGCAATTAATTTCTACCTCAGCAAGTGTGCCTTGTTTCCACTCACAAATTATTTACTCATTAAATTTGCATAGAATCTGTCGGGTTTTTTTTAACATATTCACCTCTATTGTCATACAAATACCCGATGAGGTAAGTGCAAATTTGTTGCTCAGTCGCGTCCTCGGGAGAGTGAGAAGTGGATAAGAGTGGTGAAAAAAAAGTCATTTGAAATTTAGGTGAGTGCGCATTCTTCAAATATCAATGTGCGCATTCAATAGCGGTGTGATTTTGGTGGAATATTTTAGTCGGTTTGTGAATTAATTGGCCGTAATCTTTCCTTTTGTAGTTCTTTCTGTTGCGTCTTTGGGTCAAAATTAACTCCTTTTGCGGATGCCGCGAATGTCTAAGGAATTGGGTTAATTGTTTATGAGCATATTTTGTAGTAGAATAACCTAAAATCCACCTTATCAATTTGTGATCAATCCAAATTTTCGATTGACAAGTCGTTGCAACTATACAGAAGTCGTATTTCACTTCGTAAAAGTTACGAATTTGCTATGCAGCTTTACACTTTTCATAGCTTATATTGGCGGTGTTTTTAGGGCAGAATAATCTAACTTGCGCCCAGTTTCTGCTCATTTTCCTCTACGTTGAAATCGTAATATTCCTCCAAAGAGAATCTCAAAGATTGAGATTTTCCTTAACATTGGGTATGTTTCAGATGTGATTGTGACCGGAAACACATAACCTCAATCTGGTGCATTGAAATGTTCACAAATGACCAGAAAAATCCAACAAATCTTTGTTAATCAATCTAAAAACATCATTATTGTCTATTTCCTTGATTTTCATGTGAATTTTCTTACGCCTTTTTCGCCTTTTTTACGAATTCATATTTTTGACAGCTTATTCAAAATATAGTTATGAATGTAATGTTGCAACAGCCAGTGTTATTGACCCCTTGCTTATGATTCACTTTAAAATTCTCACTCAATCAATATCTGAAGTATTGCTTCAGCACTGAATCTCCCCTTTTCTGATGGGATTCATCATAAATTCTCTCCCACTTTCGCCTGCTGATTTTCTTCATCGAGAGACACTCTTCTTGTGAGGAATAAATTCAGTGTGAAGTGAGGAAAAGCGCGGAGTTGGAAATATGATGAAGATGGAAATATTAATGGGGATGATCGTGAAGAAGTCTAGACATTACATCTTGTTTGGCTAAAAATAGGAGCTTTTTTTTCATCATCATATGAAGTGCAAATGAAAAGGACATGGTGAAAGGAAATTCCATCTCTAGTGTGTGTTTGTGTGTGTGTTTTGGGGAAAAAACATTGATGGAAATCCAGCGACATGCGCAAAGGAGTTATGCGAAGAGGTGGAAAATGCACGGACAACAGAGTGTTTCTGGAGATTTATTTTCAGTGAAGTGCTTGTGATGTTTGTGGGTGGGAAAGAGAGTGCGTTGTGATCATTTTGAGTCATCCTGTTGCCCTTCCCGGCTTCCATTCAGGCTTTTTCTGTCGTGACAAATGAAAATACTCCAGTTGGATGGAAACACTGTTGACAGAAAGTGCTTCTGTAGTCAATTTTTTTTTTAAATTATAGATGTATTTTCAATGTGAAAAAGAGGACGAAGAACAATTTTTCCACATTTTCACACCCTCCGTCTGTGAAAGTACAAATTTTTACGTGACTTTTCGCTGTAAAAGTGAGCTTTTGCTTAAGTTGAATGTCTTATTGTGTGATTTTCTGGGAAGAAAAAAACTCTGTCTCAACTGTGATGTGGGAGAAAAAGGACTTCAGCGGCAACTCATGAGATTCTTTAAGGCTCTGTGGATGATATCAAATTGCCCACCAATAATAAGTGTGTGTAAAAATCTGAAGAGAAACGATGAGCAGCGATGCTAAGTCGAGTGGAAAATTATGATGAGTTTTGCCATTGGCGACAACAGTGAAACTATTTTTCAGTGGGGAAAAAAAAGAAAAACAGCACGAATTTCACGTTGAATATCAATGATTCCGTCCGGTGACTCGAATGACTTTCAATTAGTCGCTTTTTCTGGCTCAAGGACACGCGAATTGAGGTGAAAAGCGGGCCCAAGAGTTGCGTACGAAGGCCGAAATTCGGAGCAAGTTCAAGGTGTGCAAGAGAAAAAGGGTGAGAATGGCGAGCGGAGCGGCGACTGAGGAGAATTGCGGCGGGTGGCTGAGCAATGGGGACAATGACGACACAATGACGGGAGTCCTGAATGCGTGGAGTAAGGATAATTGTCCTTCATATCTGTATGCTGAGGGCGAGGGTTGAAGTTTCCCATTTTCGCTGGAAATCTGTTGCTTTCCCACGACAAACACAGACACAAGAGTGGACTTTTCATTGATTTGGACTCTTCCTTCGCACCAGCAGATTGAATTTCCTTCCTCAGCCGCAGAATCTGGATGTTCAGGGGCGCTTAACTAATGAATCTCGATCATTTTTAGTGTCTTAAACTATGACAATAAATTTATTCTCAGGATTTTTTCATAATTATGAGAATCAAGAGGAAAATAACTCACTTTCTGACTCTTCTACAGATTCTAAGCTCTTCAAAATGCTTATATTTCAAACCGTAAAAAATGATTTTAATGTCTCAGGATTTGTATATGAAGGAATTTCCGTCTTGATTTTCTAATTTTGTCCCAAGAAAATGCTTTAAAAGTATTCTAACCAAATTGTGAGGTTATGAATTCTGGTTAAAAAATACTTCAAACCTGGAAATGAGTAAATATGATGAAAATCACAATGTTTTCCACTAAGTAATGAGGTTGAATTCATATTAAATCGCTTTTATTCTGAAGATGAGCGTCTGTTGAAGTGCTTATCGACCTCTTAGAGACACTCATATTTAATCGCATTCTCCTCTTTTGGCAGATGAGATGCTGGAGTCGGAGAAGAGCAGCCTCGTGGGTCGAGTGCACGATCTGGAGAAGCGTGTCCTCACGCAACAGGATGAGATTGTGTGTCTGCGCTCCACGCTGGCGGACGTCCTGCGACGTGTGAATCAGCTCGAGGGACAGCTGGAGCGCAGTCCGTCCACCGTGAGTGGCCGCAGTGCGCCCAGCACGCCGGCCAGGAATGGTGGCGGCACGTTCTCAGCTCGCGCCAGCCCCACGCCGTACAGCCAGCCGCCGGCGACGGCGGACTGGAAGCTGCGAAAGCCACTGCCGCGCTCCGGAAGCACCGCAGAGGCGCGTCGCAGCGCCACGCTGCATCACACGCGCACCAAATCCAGCCACCAGTCGAACGGATCGTTGCACTCGGACGGAACGCCAAGCAGCACGTCCGTGTCGCCGGCGCCGTCGCCGTCGCCCCGGCCGAACACGGCGCAGGGACTCCTGCAGTCGCACACGGGACTGGGCAAGCGATGGAACTCCACCGGAGACTTCAACACACAGTCGCCGCTGCAGGCCAGGTCAGTGGATTGGCGTCGCACATCACGAGCCGCCGCTGAAGCAACAAGTCAAGATAGAGAATCGCCTCCAATTGTATCTCTCTTAATTAATCATTCAACATGTCTCTCGATAGTTTTTGATTTGTTGCTCCTCGGCTGGCCAATAAATCACTCAATGTTGAGTGAGAGAGAGAGAGAATTGGCGAAAGTCAATTTCTGTGATGTTCGTCTGTGTCGTTTTTTTTATCTCTCTTTCTCTGTCTTGAGATTTCATCTCAAGAGTGTCTCTTTATAATTTTATCTATAATATTATTCTTTTGCATTGTTGTTTCTCGATGTTGTGTCCGGATGAATTGTGTGCAACAGATTGGCGACCAAGTCGCTTCTCAATTTGGCCTCGAAATCTCCAGTCGGGCATGTTTTCAAGCATGGGTATGTTTTTTTTTTTAATTTTATTTATTTATTTCTCTCGAGGCTTTTAATTTGCATTTCTGGCATGATATTTGCAATATTTCTGGCTTTTTCGTGAACATATTTGGCTCTTTTTCTGCTTCTGCTTCTGTGATTTATTGGAAAGTTCGAAAATTGATGAAAAATCTCCAGGATGAGTGACTTTTTTTTTGTCTCTCTCGCCATTGCGCAAAAGAGGTTCAAGGTGAGAAGAGTTGAGGAGGAGAAAAAAGTTCACCTTCCCCGGAGTGTAATTGGCGCATTCATCAAAAGATCACTCAATATAATGCGAAATCCCGCGTGCAAATATTCATCATCATGTCGATTTTTTCTTGCTCTTGATATTTGTCCGCTTTTGGGATGAAAGACAAACATGATTTTTCTACAAATTGGCCTCTTTAGTCCGCGTTTTGTCGGCTTTTTCTTGTCAATATAAGAGAGGTTTAAACATCTCTCTTAAAGTGGTTAAGAGATTGTGCATTTGCTGAAGCAAAGACACACACACAGGCGTTCTTTGATAGCAATTTCACATGTTTTTTTTCCTGAATTTTGATGAAATAATGCGATAATAATTGCCATTAATTACAAATTTCCGGATGAGAAGTGGAAAAAAGTGTCTATTCAATGTCAAATATGTTAATAAAATAAATTTTCTCATCTCCGTAAATTGATGTCAATTGAAAGTCCATAAATTGAGATGAACAGAAGATGATCAAGAAGTCAATCCATTGAAGAACACCCACGCATTTTCGGCAATTCACGTGAATTCAATGGCAACAGTGTTGTGGAAAAAAACAAAACAGCGATCATTGGGTGGATTATTTACTAATACTCGTCAATTAGTGGTGTTTTTGTCTTTTGATTCATTGCCTAACATCACTTTTTTGTGTAACAAGGGGGAGATATTAGGGTCATAAGTGGTGTACAGCCTATAAGAAGTATTTGAAACTGAAAGTGTTTCAATATTTGCAATAAAGTGTGTTCAAAAGTCACTTTCAATAGGAATAACAACAATTTTTAACAATTTTCTAGGTTATGTTATGATTTTAAAACAAATTTTGCTACTAAATAACCTAAAAAATCATTTATTTTTGCACTTAAACTGGTGTAATTTATATTTACTTCATTTCGATATTTCAAAGTATTTTTTAGGTTATTTTTTAAAGTTCGGCCAAAAGAGCGATTTATAATTGAATCACATCAAAATATCTGCTGGAAACTTCAAATATTACTAAAATACAGTTTCTCTGTGAGTTATTTTAGAGTTACACAAGTAAAAATTGATTTTTTTAATGCTCAATTGATGCAATGGCAGTAATTCAGGGGTAATTTTATCCAATTCCCCCCCCCCCCCCCCCAACTCACAATTGTGGAGCACTTGAACTTGAGAAATTCATGCTCGATGTGCGAAGAGAGTCAGTCAATTGTTGTGACTCGGTTGGAGTGGAAGTAAAACTCGTGACAAATTGCTTCTGCAAAGTGGAAATTTACCGCTGAAAAAGAATCTTACAAGCGTTGATTTTTGCCAAAAAAAAAGAAAAGAATAACAAAACTCCCATCAGGAGTTGCAAAGATAAGAATTGGCGAAAAAGTGGGTCAGAAGTTGTGCAGAGAAAGAGAAGAGAGGAAGAAAAGAGTGGCAAATTTTGCACCAAAGAAAGAGAGAAGAGAATCAAAGTGTTGGGAATTTCTCAGTGAACAGTTAGCGAAGTGAGATTATGGCAAGGTTGGTGGCTTTTTGGGTGCAAAGATGGTACATTTTGAAGAAGAATTGCCCAATAAAAACGTATGGCGAAGATGTGAAAAAGGGTGAATAAGCACAGTAAAATTCATCGACTGTGTCGCGGCCGCCACAAATGAATTGTCATTGGAATAAGAGAGAAGATGATGGTGAAAGAGAGGAAAAATAGGAATGTTCTCCGGCGCTTTTGCTGTGATTTGTGAATCATTTTCTGTGCCAAAACGTCACGTGCAAAAAATAGAATCAGCTGGGAAAATGAGCAAACGAAACGATCACTTTATCTTTTGTATCTATTTTTCTTGAGCGCATGAATTTCCTTTTAACACCGTTTATCTTTCAGTGCTTTTAACTTATGACTGTTTAATTTTTGGGATGTTTGGCTTTCTGTAGCACACACACGACAAGCTACAACGAGGAGGATGGAACTGTCAAGCTCTTCCTTCGCGGCAGGCCTGTCATTTTCCATGCACCAACCGAAGTGCGTGATTCTTACGATATCTCGAAGGTAAGTCAGAGAATGCTGAGGTGCTTAAGAGCGTTATAGAGAGGCAAAGATTGATTGGAACTCTGAATGTCGTTGAAAGTGGGCGTGGCATTGAAATGGGCGGAGCTTTATTTGTTCAAGAAGCAGAAATTTCTTTCTTTTGAAATTTTTCTAAATCAATTTTCCTTTGTTTTATTTTCAATTTGAGTTCTACTAGTGCCTCTAGCGATGGTGGAATAAACTACTCATCTTCAGAAGGGTTGTTTGCGTTTTGCAAGTCTCTCTCATGCATTATTTCGTCAATTCTCTGCAGGTCAATCCGGCGCCGTCTCGGAAGCTGCGCCTCGATTGGGTGTACGGATACCGCGGGCGTGACTGTCGTGCCAATCTGCACCAAATGCCCACTGGCGAGATGGCGTACTTCGTGGCGGCCGCTGTTGTTCTGTACAATGTAGACGAACAGACGCAGAGGCACTACTTGGGTCACACGGACGACGTGCGCAGTCTCACGGTGCATCCGAACAAGCTCCTGGTGGCCACTGGCCAGTGCGCCGGCCACGAGCGCCGCGACGGAATGCCGCACATTCGCGTGTGGAACTCCGTGTCGCTGGCAACGGTGGCCGTGATTGGTGTCGGTGAGTTCGCGGGCTCCGTGAATTGTCTGTCGTTCTCCCGGGCGGACGCCGGGGCATTTCTGGTGGCGGTGGACGACGCGCCGGATCGCACGATCAGCGTGTGGGAGTGGCAGCGCGGGGAGCGAGGACACCGCGTGACGGAGACCAAGTGCTCAGTGGACACGATTGTGGGGGCGGAATTCCATCCGCTGGATCGCAATCAGATCGTAACCATTGGGAAGAATCACATCTGCTTCTGGACACTGGATCAGGGTGGGGCGCTGTACAAGCGAATGGGTGTGTTTGAGGGGCGCGACAAGCCCAAGTATGTCACGTGCATGGCCTTCACGACCAACGGCGACACCGTCACGGGTGACTCCAATGGGAATGTGATTGTCTGGGGCCGCGGGACCAACACTATTGCCAAATTTATCAGGTAATCATCAATTGCGTGCTCTCCAGAGATGAAGAAAGGCGTCGTTGCAACTTTCCGTTCATAACATTTTAAATAAGCCATGAGAAATATGAATTTGTAAAAAGGCGTTGCAAGATTTCCGAAAGTGAGGAATTTATATCTTTTATGAGGCCTGAAACGTTTCAAACATTTACGTCTGAAGTTAATTCATATATTTTGTCGCCTGACGCTCAATGTCAGAAAAAGTCGCGGATACAGATGTCTTATCAATACGATTCACAATTTTGGCCTGTTGAACTCATTCTTCATGTTGAAAACATCCTTGACTTACAGTAAAGAACCTTTCCTAACTTCCACGTGGAGGAAAATGGCATGAAATTGGGCGTAAATTGGAATAATGCAATGATTTTTTGACACCTGAAATTCATATCAAATAAAATCTCAACTCTATGCCTTGCAACGCTCTTCTACTTTACACTAGCGTCGCTAGGCGGCCGCTAATTTAAGCTATGAAAAGTGTAAAATTGCAACACCAAATTGGTAGTTTTTACGAAACTGAAATATGAAATCCGTAATGTTGCAACGACCGATTTTTTCTCCCAAATTGCAGACGCGTTCACGATGGTTCGGTGTTTTCGCTGTGCGCCCTGAAAGACGGCGGCATCATCTCTGGCGGTGGCAAGGATGGACGTCTGATGCTCTTTGATCCCGATGTGAATCCTCTGGGTGCCCAGGCGGCCATTGAGGCGCACTTTGGCGGCGTGCGCGTGGTGTCTGAGGGCAGAGGGACGCAGCTGCTGGTCGGAACGACGAGGAATTGCATCCTGACGGGATCACTGGAGTTGGGCTTCTCGCCCGTTGTCATGGGACACACGGATGAATTGTGGGGCTTGGCCACGCATCCTTCCCTGCCACACTTTGTCACTGGTGGACGCGATCGTTTGCTGCAAATGTGGGACTCACTGTCGCATTCTGTGGTCTGGAGCAAGGACATTGGCGAGCAGGTGCAATCGTGCTGCTTCAGTCCGTCAGGAGACACAATTTGCGTCGGTGGCGTGTCCGGGAGGTGGTTGACATTCGATGCCACGACGAGAGAGCAACTGGATGAGCATGTGGATGGACAGGAGGCCATCCAAACTGTGCGATTCTCGCCGGACGGCGCATTCCTGGCGCTTGGCTCCAGAGATAATGGAATCTACGTGTATCAAGTGAATGGAAATGGTCGTCGATATGCCAAAATTGGGAAATGTGTGGTTAGTATTGGGGAAAATCAATTTATATAACGATAAAATGGATGTGACAAAAATTATGTCTCTTCAGGGTCACTCGAGCTTCGTGACGCATCTGGATTGGTCAGAGGATAGCAAGATCATGAGAACCAACTCGGGAGACTATGAAGTTCTCTTCTGTAAGTCATTTTTTTTTATCACTGTTAAAGGTGATTTTCAATAGCGAGTAATTTTTCAGGGAATCCAACAACTTGTCGACAAATCACAAATCCATCCAGTCTTCGTGACGTCGCGTGGGCAACGCATTCGTGCACACTCTCTTTCCAGACGGTGGGAATCTGGCCGGAGAATGCTGATGGAACAGATGTGAACACGACAGCTCGTAGTCATGATGCCAAACTCGTCGCCACTGGCGATGATTGGGGCAAAGTGAAGCTCTACAGCTTTCCAGCATGTCAGCCAAAGGTATGCCGAGCAATTGTGGCGTTTGGGAATTGTCTTCTCACTGTTGTTTCTCTCGATTCCAGTCACTGGCGCACGTTGGATGCGGCCACAGCAGTCACGTGACGGCGGTGGAGTTCCTGCAAGAGGATGCGCGGCTGATTTCGACCGGCGGACACGACACGAGCGTCATGCAGTGGACAATTGGGTGAGGAAGTCGAGGGCTTCGCTCCAAGCGGCGAAGCAGTCACAGTCGATATCGCAAAATCGCTTTGATCAATCAGTCCAGCTCAAATTTCAAACAAATCAGCAATTGAATTGAGGAACCACAAGTGTTAAAAAAAAAGTGTATCAGGAATGTTTCTTTGAGACTTTGTGTGCATGAACAGTGAAAAGATTATATGGACATTTTTGTATGAAAAAAAAATTGAGAAAAAGGTTTAGCAATAAGTTAAATATGAGACGACTTTTCTACACGAAGAGTGGAAAGATTGTAAACTCTTCATTTAACGTGCATGATTTATTTAACAGCATAGAACTTAAGTACCTCTAAATATACACAAAAACACACAATTATTCCAATTTAAGTCCAATTGCATTTGCGTGCAGAATCGCTGACGAAGACACTCTCATTTGTTGCTACTTTAGATGTGCCTTAATTTTTCTTCCTGAAGATGGCAAGGCGAGAGTGAAGGCGCGATGCAGGAATTTTTGAGATGACACAAATTCTCCTCATCAGAAAGAGTAGGATTTTTAGGATGTAATAAGTTAAGGATGAACAACACTTTCTACTGTGGAACAATTCAATTAAATATGCTCTATGAATCCTTAAAAATTGTCTTTCATGTTGGATTATTTCAATTCTGTGATGAATTCTGTTTTAATTCTTCTTCATCGTTCCTTTCCATTGGCAAAATGATAACAACTGAGTGCATTGAAACAGTTTAATGTTCTACAAAATGCGCATTTATTCCAACATTGATAAACAATTCATGCAAAATTCCCCCCAAGTAACTATAGTTTCACCACATCGTGGAATTGACACTTATTACAGCACTCTAACTCACTTTCATGAGATTATGGTGATATTTTCTCGAAGAAATTCACTCAAACACACTGACATTCAGTGATCTTCGAGTGTGTTCTTAGAAAATGTTGCTCTTCACAGTGATTTTTCCTGCTTTTCTCATTCTAAATTTACTTCTTAACCACCGTCAACACCTTCAAAGCTCACAACGACGCCTTGAAGCTGGAATACATTTCGCTCTCTCACAATAAGATTAGGAGAATTGGCAGAAGAGACTTTGCAACATGTTCTCAAGTTGTTGAATTGCACTTATCTGACAATCATATTGCTGTGATAGCGAGTGGAGCTTTTGATAAGATGACAAAATCGGATTTTCTCATCCTTTCGAACAAACATTCATTATGAAATAAAGAAGCTTATCGCTTTGCTATTTGTTAATTTATTGAGAGATCAACATGAGAAGCTTCTGGTGGTGAATCTTCACGCCATTATTTGGATGAAAGACGTGCCTTTTAAGCGACAGTGAAGAGAATTGCACAGTAAGACACTGAAAGTTTGATAATCTGCCGAGAAAAAAGATCATTAATCAAGAGGAAAATTCAATATTCTTCCTCTGTACCTCAATAAAAGTGTAGAAGGAAACATCGACAAGTCCTGCAGCTTTGATTCCGTACGGTTTCTGCGCCATGGCGATCATGATGAGGATTCTCTGCTGATCCACAAGATCCATTTCGTACCATTTGGTCAAATACAGAGCTGTGCTGATGAGACTCGCCCTCTCGAACAGAATGTCACCGATTAGGCAGAGGAAAAATGTTTGCATGAGACCACAGAGGAGCACAGCATACGCCCAGGCCTGCAGATCGTGAAAGCGGATCATAAAGGTGGTGAGACAGATGAGGAAGAAGCTGGAGATGAACTGGAGGAAGGTGAGAAAGTAGTAGACATTCTGGAAAGTGCCCAATTTCAGCAAGACGCGCAAGTGCATCTTGTAGATCATCCTCAGGAGATGTTTGTGACTTCGTGCGAAGTCGCTGTCATCGAAGCAGAGAATAATCTCTGAAATGATGATGAGTTCGCCTCTGAAGAAGAGTGCCAAGGCTATAAAGACAAAGTCTCCGGCCAGTACGGCGTAGAGAATGAGCCAGGCACCGTAGAGTTGGAAGGAGAAGTTTCCCCACCAGTCGAAGAAGGGCAAATAATAGCCTAAAGGCTGTCCTTTGGGTGAACTCATGCCGTGATACTGCCAAAGAGAGAGAGAGAAAGATTGTCTTGAGACGCTCAGCAATCGAACCACCCTTTCAAGACTCACCACAAGAAGAAACACCGTGGCGTTGAAAATGAAAGTGATGGAGATGTGACAGATTTTCGTCAGGACAATGGTTTCCTTGAGAATCCTCTTGACAATCTCATCGACAACCTTCTCAAATTGCGTCTTCACGATCTCATCGATGGCCGAGAAGAAGATCAGGAACTGATCTTTGTAGTAAATCCCAGTCAGAGTCTTGATGAACGCCTGAAGACTGCCGGAGAACCAGATTGTGCCGAAGGAGAATGTCACCATGTCACCCTCGGACATCACGTGGAACAGCAGCTCCGTCGTGGCGACGAAGTGAAAGGCGGCCAGGAAGGGGAAGAAGGACATCCGGATGTGGCGAAAGATGAAGCAGTTGATGGGAATGAAGTCCAGACGGATGAAGTTGATGATGAACGTCAAGAAGCGATAGTAGCGCGTGTATTCCTGAACGAGAGTCATTCTGACCGCGATTGAGGAGATTTCTGAGGGAAATCGGGAAAGATTGTGCTGAAGAGGTTTTTATAAAGGTAATAAATGTTGATGAAAATCCACCCAAACACGCCCTAAACGCCCATTTTTCCTTTAAATCGATTATCACGCTAGGCGGAATTTTATTCATTGACTTTCTTGCATGATTAATAAATAGAGTTCGAGAGGAAGTGAAAAATGTCGGTATTTTATGAGAAATTTTCTCATCTTTTCAATGAATATTTGTTCACTCTACTCAGAATCTTGTGTTTTTTCCGCATAAGTTCAATTCTATTGCTCACAATTTATAAAGAAATCTCATAATTAATACTAAAATCTATTAAAAAAGATCCAGACAGAAACTTGAAAAATATTCTTTATTGTCAAATCTGTCAAATCACTGTGAAAATTTCACCAATTTCACTACAAAAGCGATGCAAGAAGCTTCATTGAATGTTTCATTAATATTTTATCAATGACGAAACCTTAAGAAAGTCAATTGAATTCGTTGAATCTCATAATCATTTATTCACTACATAACTTGTAATTTTGATTTTATTACATTTCTCAGAAATAAAGAGAGAATTACAGAACGAATGTACATCTTCAATGTGTTCTTTAGACTAATGTGAAGAGAATGGCGCAATAAGACACTGAAAGTTTGATGATCTGCAAAGAAAAACACATTCTTCAGTACATTATTTGAGAATTTGTTGAGAAAAAATCACTTAACCTCGATGAATGTGAAAAACGAAATGTCCACAAGTCCTGCAGCTTTGATTCCGTACGGTTTCTGCGCCATGGCGATCATGATGAGGATTCTCTGCTGATCCACAAGATCCATTTCGTACCATTTGGTCAAATACAGAGCTGTGCTGATGAGACTCGCCCTTTCGAACAGAATGTCTCCGATCAGGCAGAGGAAGAAGATCTGCATGAGAGCGCAAACGAGCACAGCGTAAGCCCACATTTGGATGTCGTGAAAGCGGATCATGAAGGTGGTGAGGCAGATGAGGAAGAAACTGGAGATCATCTGGAGGAAGGTGAGGTAGTAGTAGATCTTCTGGAATGCCCGGAGTTTCCGCAGTGCGTCTCTGTGCATCTGATGAACTGTGCGCAGGAGTTGTGAGCTTGCCAGGTGGCTGAGGATCTCACTGATGATGGCCAATTCGCCACGAAAGTGCAGAGCCATCGTGATGAAGAGGAAATCACCGCCGAGGACAGTGTAGAGGTCAAGAAGGACGCCAAACCACTGGAAAATGTGATTGACAGTTGGCGAGAGGAAGGGAATGTGATACATCAGAGGGTAAATCCGCTGAGTGCTGATGGCGTAGAACTGGAGAGATAAGAAATGACACTTTTTTTAGCCCTTTTTAACTGCTATTTCACCCAAAACTTACAGCAAGCATGAAAGCTGTGGTGTGAAAAAGAAATCCTTGAGCTGAGACGATCATTTTGGTGAGTTTGATGGAATTCTTCAAGATTATCTTCACATTCTCCTCCACAGATTCATCAAAGCGTCTCCTGACTAAAGTCTGCGTCGCCTCGAAGCACTCCATGTACGTATCCTTGTAGTAAATGGCCGTGAGAGCCTTCACAACAGACTGCAGAGTGGCTGAAATCCAGATTGCGCCGTACGAGAAAGTCACCATGTCACCTTCCTTGAAGCTAATCACCAGCAACCAAAGCAAAGCCACAAAGTTCAGGGAACTGATCACGGGAAAAATACTCATTCGAGCAATTCTCACTGGAAACCAGGGAACAGGAATGAATTCCAGCCTCATGGCTGAGATTATTGACTTGAGAAAAGCGTAATAACGCCGATATTCGCGCTCTAACTGAACTTGATTCATCATTAATCCGATTTTGAGAGACAGATTGAAGGGAAGATCTCTCGTAGGGTCTTTTATACTGTCCATTGGGGTTTAATAATTGATTTTACGAACAACTCCCACTGAACTTGAGCTATTATTAATGCAGAAAATTATCTTCACGTGTGGAGTTATTTTTACGCCTCATTATTTGTTAACGAATATTTACTATTTTCACTCCTGTGCATTCTAATTACACAATTTCTCGATCTCAAAGATACCTTTATAGCTAATTGATTATTCCTCAGTGAATAATTAGTCAATATATCACGAAATTCTTTCATTTAATTTTTTATCAGGGAATATTTTTCTCATCAGGGGAGATTCAAAAATTCAAACAGCGCTTCAAAATTCTCCATATTGCATGAGCGCCTCTAGCGACAAATTATGCAGTTTCGGAACAAAAATATTTACCAAAGTGACAGCAGAAAAAGCAAACAGTCTGGAAAAACCCCCAAAAACCTTGAAAATCCTGTAAAATCATGGAAAAACCTGGCCAAAGTTCTGCTGCGAAGCTTAAGGAGCGCATGGAGCGTCTGAAGAAGTTGCACGACGCACGAAATCAGGCGCGCGTGAGTAACCAGAAGGAAGTGATTGCTGAGAACAACCAGAAGAAGCTTCCGGCCAACTGGGAGGCGCGGAAGCGCAAGACGGAGTGGCTGCTGGCCGAGGAGGCGGCCAAGGAGAAGGCGGCCAGCGAGGGAAAGGACTTTGAGCGCGTGAAAATGCTGGGTGTGTCAGTGAGTGAGGCGGAAATTGCGCTGAAGAAGAAGCGCAAGGGTGACGGAAGTTTCTCCAGCTACGAAGCCCAGACAGCTCGTCAGTACGAGCGAAGCATCAACATCCTGCCGCCGTGTATCCGGGAGAACTACGAGGCGCGCAAGAGGGAGGCCGAGGAGGACGAGAGCAATCCGCTGAGGCATTTGCATCCCAGAGACTCTCCGGCGGCGATTGACAACATGGTTGAGCATCTGCAGAAGCAGATTGACAAGAAGAAGAACTTCTCCAGGCGGAGGACTCACAATGACGACGCCGACATTGACTACATCAATGAGAAGAACGCGAGATTCAATGCGAAGCTGGAGAGATTTTATGGCGAACACACAGTGGAGATCAAGAAGAATCTGGAGAGAGGAACAGCTGTGTAAAATATATACTTGTGTCACTTTATTCACCACGATAGATCACAGAGTTCTTGTCTGTCTCCTCAATTCGCACCTCGTGCAGCAAATTCGGCTCCGGCAGGACTTCCTTCAGTCCCTTCCAGATGAACACCGCCACGTTTTCCGTGGTGCTGGGAATGTCCTTGAATGCATCGAGATCCTTGTCGAGATTCTTGTGGTCCAGCCTCTGCATTATCACCACATCCATGTGCGCCTTCAGATCACTGATATTCATCACCATCCCGGTGGCATGGGTCAGAGGACCGCAAACTGTGACCTCCACAGTGTAATTGTGTCCGTGTCCATTGGGATTATTGCACTTTCCGTACACTCGGACGTTCTCCTCTGCGCTGAGATGGCGACTGTGGAGTCGATGACAGGCTGAGAACTTCTCTTTGCGAGTGAGATAGACAACAGGTGGATTGGACATGTTTTCCTTGGAGTTCTTCACGCTTTTTCCAACCTTTCTTCCCGGATCTGCTAACTACAGTGCTGGCCGCTCGTGGCGCTGAAGCTGTCACTGACAAGTCGCCACTTGAGAGAGTCATCCTCAAGATTTCCTCTCATTTCTCCAGGAAAGCAGGTGAGTCTCAATGGCTGCAGTGATGAGAATTACTTCCCAACTGTTCATGAGTATTTTTATAAAGTAATTACTAAATATTACTTTGATTTTATATCGATTTCAGCCATTTTTCCGAGGCGCTATCTTTGATACCAGGGAGATAAGGAGATCTTTGGTCAAAAGTACAGAATCCACTGCGATGGCAATGAGTGCAGCCACTCATCTTCCTGTCATTCCCGCCGTGACTAAAATCTCACAGAGTATCATCAGGATTTTGGGCTGTAATCCTGGGAAAATGACTCTGCAAGGAACCAACACGTACTTGATAGGATCAGGAAGGAAGTAAGTCTATTTCCTGGTCCATTCGCATCATAAATTAGCAAGAGATCACTTTCAGGAGACTCCTCCTTGACGCCGGCGAGCCTGACAAGCCGAAATTCATTGAGAACCTGCGGAAGGTGCTGAAAGAGGAAAATGTGGCCATAGAGAATATCCTCATCACGCACTGGCACAATGATCATCTGGGCGGCGTGAAGGACGTTCTGGAGATTAGCGAGGCCAAAGATTGTAAGGTGTGGAAATTCCCTCGCACGGACGCTGAGGATTCTTATCAAAACCTTCCGGCTTCACTGAAGCTTCTTCCACTGCGCGATGGTCAGCGATTCGCCGTTGAGGGAGCGACAATTGAGGTGATCCATACTCCTGGCCACACGACGGATCACGTGGTGGTGTCACATGAAGAATCCGGCGCTCTGTTCAGTGGCGATTGCATCCTAGGCGATGCCACGACGGTGTTTGAAGATCTTTATGACTACATGAAGAGTTTGGAGAAGATTCTGCAGCTGGAGCCGACGGTTATCTATCCAGCGCATGGCAGTATCATTGAGAATCCCAACGACAGGATAAAGTACTACATTATGCACAGGAAGAAGCGCGAGGAGGCGATTTGTGAACTGCTGAAGACGAAGAAAACGCACCTCTTCACGGAATTGGACATTGTGAAGAACATTTACAAGGATACGCCGACGGAAATGTGGCCAGCGGCAGCTTACAATGTCAATCACCATCTCAAGAAGCTGGCCAAGGAGGGAAAAGTGGTGGAAAGTGAGAAAGACGGCCAAAATGTGTGGCAATTCAGCGATAAAAACTCCGTTTTATGAAAATAGAGACAAATGTAGGATTTTCTTCAAGAATTGTGGGCTTTATGGGCAAATTAGGGAAGGATTATGGACGGATTATCTTACCAGAATATATCTCGATTGCTAAATAGTGGAAATATATTATATTTTATGGAAAATGAGTAAAAAACGGATTTTGGCGCCATTATTGCGGTGGCGCTAGTGTTGAATTTCCATGGAGCCAAACAAACCGCGCTTCTTTCGCGTGTCATCGATTACTTTCCAGCGTGAAAATGAGCCAGAGTGACTTCTCGGGTGTCCTGGAGCGAGAACAGACGGGCAGTGGTCAGGTGGGGACGTTCCAAGTGGAGGATTTGATGGACAAATTGAAGCTGCTGAACTGCGATCGTCTTCTGGTGAAGGAGTTGAAGCTCAAGCCGCCCAATCGGATGTACTTTGCCAAGTCCACGAATCCCGGTGAGCAGTTCTTCATGTTCACCAGCATCTGTGCGTGGCTGATGAGAAAACTGGGCCATCAGTTTGATCAGCCACAGGAATTTGACGATCCCAGTGCGACAATTGCGAAGATTATCAGGATTCTGCAGGAAATGGTGAGAAGGAAGTGATTACAGGCGATTCCGGGGACTAAATTAAGGACTTTTGCTCAGGATATCTCAACGGACTTCCCGTCGAACAAACTGATCCAGGGCGCGGGAGCGATTTGTGTGTACATCCTGGATTCCCTGGCGACGCAGGCACTGAAGGTGGCTAAAGTCAACTTGAAGCGTCCAGAGACTGTCCAGGAAGAGGACACAGTGACTGAGATGATAGAGAATGACTCGGAGATCATCCTTGAGAAGGTGGAGGAAGAGCAGAACGCCCTGATGGCCGCGTCTGATGACAGTGATGAGGAGAATTCCCTCCTGAATCTCAATCTGAGCGGAAGTGGCCAGAAGAATAGACAGCAAGAGCAGGGATTCCACCTGAAAAACTACCGGCAGGACAGCATTGCGGCCACCGAAAGTTGGCGGTGAGTTTACTGGCCGTCAGTGTCTGTCCAGGAGGGGTTTTAAGGGTGTGTTTCTTGCAGTCTGGAATTGGAGAGAGTCATGCCTCAGCTGAAGATCGTGGTGAAGAGTGATCCCAGGGATTGGAGGGCGCATCTTGAGCAAATGAAGACCTTCAGGAGCACCATAGATCAGGTAAATTGGAGTGCAAAATGAAAGAAGATCAAAGATTCCGAAGACATTTTCTCCGCCAGGCTTCGAGTGACACGGATTCCCAGCTGAAGAAGCTGCAAACGGGCATTGGACATGTGATGGAGAAGATCGAGAGTCGGGAGAAGCACTTGAATGCCGAGCTTCAGCCTCTGATTGCCCAATACAGAACACTTTCCGTTGAGCTGAAGCAACTCTCATCGGCAATCGCTGCGATTGATGCCGAGAAGAGCACCAAAGAGAGAGAGCTGGCGGGCATTCTGGGCGAGATTGAGACTGTGAAGATGCAGATGGAGCAGAGAGGCACGTCCATGACCACCGATGGCAGTCCTTTGATTGCCATCAAGAAGGCAATCGTGAAGATTCGCGAGGAAATCCTGCAGATGGACCTGAAGATTGGTGTTCTGGATCACTCCCTGACGCAGGAGATCATCAATCACAATGCCCAGATTGCTGAATTGGCCCCAATGACCGCGATTTTGCATTAGACACACTCATATATTCGTGAGATCACACTAAAATCGTCCCTGAACAGTCAAATTGCACTAAAAAAAAACGACAAAAATACTTGGTAAAGAAGTCATCAAAAGCTCTGATCACTTGTCTTTGGCCGTGTTCATCTTCTCCCAATGCACACCGTCGTGCCTAATGGGGCTTTTGATGGAGGGCGACAGCCACACGAGTCTCCATTTTTCCCCCAGGACGTTCTCGACGTTGCTCTTCCTGCCCAAATCATAGCAACGGATCTTCTTCTCGTGCTCCGCCACAATTGCGCCCTCCAGCACGATCCGCGTGTGGTAGAACAGCAGCACACCCACGAATAGGGACCCCACGAACCCTATGATGTAGATCACGAGGTAGTATTGCGTGGTGTTGGTGTCCACGAGCAGCCAAGCGAGAGGAAAAATGATCTGGACGAAAGACAGCCACGTTTTGAATTCCGGCCCGTGAAGAAACCAGATGAAGTACGTGTTGTAGATGGCGGAGTACGCCGTGGCCACGAATAGGTGCACCAGGAGCATCATAAAGTACCGATGATTGCGATGACCAATGCAGCAACTGGTCAGGAGGCAGTGATGATCCCTAGAAGCCGCGGAAAACAGTCAATTTCACTCATATTGTGCACTTGCATTAGAGACTATCTCACCGCTTGAGGATGCAGACGTTGCAGGTCTTGCAGTGCCAACTTCTGGGCGGTGCCCAGGCTTCGCAGACGCTGCACAGCTTCCAATTCTTCTCCTTGGCCTCTTCGGGATCCTGTGGCGGTTGGATAATTTCACCGCGGAGGCTCGTGTCTGTCAGCATCACGGCCAACCAGTTGCCCACGATGTTGTACAGCAGGAATATCCCAACTAGGAAGTGGAGGCTGTTCAGGAAGGAGCCCCAGGGGAACACTTCGGGTATCACCACGAATATCTCGAACCAGAACGTGATGGGAATGGCGGCGGCCAGGAAAGTCGTTGCGGCAAAGTCCTGCCAAGATCTCAGTAAGCGCAGTTTGACCATTTTGTCCCTCTTTCCGGGAGTCTGAAGATGATTTTCCACTCTGTTTTCACTTCCACACCCGGAATCTCAGCGCGCGCTCGTGACCAACTTCACTCCGGATGAGTCACACGCCATCCAGTGACATCTGCCAGAAAATCTAGTACTTCATCGCGAGCACGACCATATTTGCGAAGTTTGTGAAAAATTCAGCAATTTGTGTGATTTTCTCGTGGAAAAACAAGTGTTTGGTGCCTGAAATAGTGTGAAAAGTGAAGAAGAGAGTGTGAGGAAGAGTAATCATGTTGGCTGTGGGTGATACACAGTCGGGAATTCCGGCTTTTCTCGTCAAATTGTGGCGCCTGGTTGAAGATCCCACTACAAATGACTTGATATCATGGAGGCCGGTGTGTAAATCACTAAATATATCACTTATAGAGCCCCACTTGCATCTCCGGCAATGGAAAAACATTGCCGGAGATGTATTGCATCATTCAAAAGTGTAATTTCGTCACAATTGTCATGGTCAAGTGCGCTACGCAATTAAATAGGGAGTTCAAGGTTTTTTTCCATTCCTTTCCTCTCACGGCGCTCTGCCCTTCTCTTAACGATCGCCCCCCAAGCCGGGGAGGACCGTGGGTGGCACCGTGAATCACCTGATCGTGGGCTCAGCTGACTAATGTGACAAGCCACATTGTTGATTGGCCATAAAAGGGCAGAATCTTCATGGAAAATCTTTACCTTCAGTGAGAAATCATAACCTAAGATTTTCTCAATTTTCTTCACATGCGTAAAAAGGCAGTGAAGAAAAAGTGTTTTCTGGTCAGGAAGTGGTTATTGTGCATCCGGATGCGCGTGTTGTGATGGTCTTGTTGAGAAGATCATTCTGGGGAATTGTGGTTTAATGTTATCTAAAGTTTTTGAAGCTCAATTTGATAAACATCTCCATTTTTTCTCCTTAACAATTCTTTCTCTGTTTGGATTTTTCTCAGGATGGCGTGAGCTTTGTGATAAAAAATCAATCCAAGTTCTCAAGTGAACTCTTGCCACTCAACTACAAACACAACAATATGGCTAGTTTTATTCGTCAACTCAACATGTGTAAGTTTTATCGATTCTCAGAGAGAGTTTTGGAAAACATTGACTTTTCTCTCTGGCCCTTCTGCAGATGGTTTCCACAAAGTGGCCTCCATTGAGAATGGTGGGCTGCGCTTCAAGGATGAAATGGAGTTCTCACATCCGGACTTCAGGCGTGGCGAATATCCGCTGTTGAACAATATCAAGAGGAAGATTGCCACGGCCAAAGGAGCTACGGTGGATGCCAAAAAGACACCGCCAGAGTCCATTAACAGGGTGTTGACGGAGGTGAAGGCGATCAGGGGAAAGCAGGACTCTCTGGACTCGAGATTCTCAACGATGAAGCAAGAGAATGAGGCGCTTTGGCGGGAATTGGTGGTGCTGAGGCAGAAGCACATCAAGCAGCAGCAGATTGTCAATAAGGTCAGTGTCATTCGGAAGGTTTAGAAGAGACCAAGGGAAGTAGAAGAAAGAGAAGAAATTTAAGATAGAAACTTAAGAGATTTCATTATAATTTGAGAATTTTTGGCACTTTTTGAAGTGTTGTACAGATTTAAAGCATACTATCTTCCCCTTGGAAGAGAGGATTGTCTAACGAATTCTTCTTTTGCAGCTCATTCAATTCCTCGTGACAATTGTGCAGCCCTCGAGGAGTGGCTTGAAGAATATGAATGGCGTAAAGAGGCGCTATCAGCTGATGATCAGCGATCAGCCGCAATCGTCGGAGACGGAGAATCGCCCGGAGAAGTCTGGGCCGGTGATTCAGGAGTACTTTGACGAGGACAGCATTGATAACATTCTCACGGACAACGTCGCCGCTGCTGCTGCTGCTTCTGCTGATGATGATGTGGATGTTCCGGAGGACATTGACGAGGATGATGATGTTGGAGAGTTTGGTCAGGATTCCGCGGAGGCGTTCGATGTGGGTCGAGTGATTGAGGAGCGGCTGCTGGAGGAGAACAATAGAGTGACAGACACAGAGAATGACGACAATCTGAAGCTTTTGCCTGTTCATGCGTCGCCGAAGAAGCCCAAATTGTCCATCAATGCTCAACTGCCGGACTTGTCCACGCAATCCTTCGATGTGGATCTCAGTCTGCTGAACACGCCAGTGGTGGAGAGTCCGAAGCAGGACAAGACGGTGACGTGGTATGGCAAGCAAGAGGACTTCCTGCAGGACAGCATTCCGGATGACTTGCTGGAGAATCCCTTCGTCGAGGGCACATCGAGTGGCGCTCAGGCACCTGGACAGTGGGTGGCGGGCAAGAATTTGGCTCTGGCGAAGATCAACACGAGGAATAGTCTGCCCGAGGACATCTTCAATCTCAGCACGCCGTAAGTTGAGATGGAATTTCTTGTTTATTCTTCTGTGTAGGAATTGTGAATTGACTTTCGATGCCCACGTTTGTCTGATTTTTCTCCTGGGGAAAATATTATGACAAAGCGCGTCTTTTATGTTCAGGGAGCAATTTGACACACATCTTGAGCATGTGCAGCAGGATTTGAACAGTCTGCAAGAGATGCTGAATGGCGAAGGATATGCGATGGATGTGAATCCACTGGATGGATTGTTTGGTGACTCTTCCGAGATTCTCTCTTATCCGGTGACACTCGATGAAGAGGCAGCAGCAGATGGTAATGCTGATCTGACACGGCAGCTTCTCGGCATCGAATAATCTCCTTTTTCTTTCCACATGACTTGCGCGCATGTCTTGAAGCAGCAACAGCGAAACGATCACAATGAACAGCGACAAATTGAAAGGATTGAAGAGATGGACCTCAATTCTGTGAGTTGACGATCAAAATCCTCCTGTTGTGTCTTCAGATGGTGGAAATTCGGAAGACAAGTCTTCACATAATTGTACTATTTTTCTAATAACTTTTCTAGAGTGCGATTGATGATGACGGAATTTAGCAATTAAGCCAAAATAGCTTTTATTGTAATTTAGTCATAAAATGGAAGTTTAGTTTGCCGAAGATTTTATTTTATTAATTTTTGTAATCCAGAGAGAAATTTGTAATCCACAGAGTGTGGCAATTGAAGTGTGAATTTCAAATATATTTTGATAAAGAGAGATTTAATTTGAGCAAAAAGGTCATTAAATTTTTCTTACCAAGTTGTGAATATTTGGCCAAATTTCCACATATTGTAAATGATTATAATAATCTGTGGTTATTTTTTTGCTTCTAATTATATATTTGTACGGAAATTATCCACAAAGTTCTAATGAAATATATTTAAATGGAGTTTGATTTCCCTCACTGACCAAAACCAGAATTAAGTGAAGATAAAAGAAATGAACATCACTCTTTGTGAGACTCTCTTGGAATTCTCCGTGATTGTTGAATGAAAATTATGATAAAATTGAGCTTAAGAATCTCTGGAAGTTCCTTGATTGATTGATTTTTTCTATGTAATGTTTCCCAAAACCCTCATTTTTTCACACTGAATAAAGGTGTTGTCACTGAATGAAGCCAAAAGCAGCGTCTCTTCTTCTCACTCTCAACTTTATTGCAGGAAATTGTCAGACAGACAGAAGATTGGTTGTAATCACAATATTGGCGGCCGCACTACAGCAGGCTGCCGTTCACGCTTTCGTGGTAACTGTTGAAGCCGGCCATATGGAAGACGTGCGTGGCGCTGGTGGGCGGCGGCGAGGCGAATCTGGGCATGTCGCACTGCTCGCAGTTGTCCAGCAGCGGATGATTGGCGAAGGTGCACATGCAGCATGTCCAGGGCTCGGCGCCCACGCCGTTCGCCCGCCCCGACAGCACCTGAATGTGGTGATTGATGACCGCCTGGCTGGTGGACTGGCTGATGCGCGTGGAGCGACTCCGTCTCACCTGCGCCGGCAGCTTCTGTCCAGTGTAGATGTTGTCGTAAAATGCCTCATTCGTCTCGCCAAGAACTGCAAAACATCACGAAGGAACAGACATGAAATCATCTCATGGACTCTACGAGATGGAAGTAATATTAAAAGAAATACGGAAAATATTGCTTTTCACATCAGTTATCATTATTCCCTGACAAATGTCGTTGCATTAGTTGAGAAAATATTTGATCTTTGAAATTAAATTGATAGAATTCATTGAATCAGACTAAAAAGACACCCAAAATTGCACTTTGCAACTAATTGTTGCGCAGATGAGTTCAATTTAGTGCCAAAATTCACTTTAGGGCTTCTATAAAATAGGACACTTTTAGCATAATTCCGTCGCATGAACATCAACTCACCGTATGGGCCGAACTTCTCCACCGCTCTGGCCATTCTTTCGCAGTCGGTGCGGAGCTGAGTGATTTCGTGCAGCACTCGCTGGGAATTCTCTGCTGAGAAGGGCTCTCGCAGCGTCTCCAGACTTCGCTGCATGCTCGAGAGGCGCTTCTGGTCGTTCACAAACTCATTCTGGAGGGAATTCTTGATGCGCAGCTGATTGTTGACGCTCTTGTCCTCTGAGAAAACACACCAAAAACACATCAAAGAGGCAGAGATTAACATGCTGTGGGCTTGCAGAAGCTCTCATCAACTCACCAGGAACAGGACTGTGCGTGGGTTGATAGACAACTGGTGGTGAAGGTGGTTCTGGCAGCGCCAGTGAAGCGCCGCCGTGACTCGGTCGCGTTCTCACAGCACTGATGACGCCCCCATTGCGGCCCACATTGATATGCAGCCGACTCTGGTAGCCCTGCTCATTGTTGTCCAGCGAACTGCTGGAGTACGTGAAGTTCGTGGCCTGCACCAACTCCACGCGTCCCTCATTCGCTTCCGCATCCCTGCTGAAGTCTTTGAGATTGAACTTGACTGATGTGAAGCGACGCGGCGCCTTGGGTGTCGTCGTTTGCTCCGCCTCGAACACTTCTCGCGGCTCCCGCGGCGGAATTGTGATCTCTGTGGAGAAGCGCGACGTCTGCCTGGACAGCGTTCCACTCTCCGCTCGCCCTTCCGGCGTCGGCTCCACGAACGAGCGCTCCGTGACGTGAATGGTGGGTGAACTTGGCGTCCGGGAGGGACGCGATATGTGACCTGGCGCCAGCTGAGCCTGCGCAGCGTCCACGTGGCGTTGCAACAGTGCCACGCACGTGGCGCGATCCGTGTGACGCAGCACGCAGTCGTTGACCACATCGTCGGACGCCGTGGGGAACTTCTGCTTCATCTCGTGGAAGAGTTGCTTGGTGCGAATGCTGCTGGCGCACGTGGAGCCGTCCTTTCGTCCGCTATTCTCCATCCTGTGCCATTTTCCGGACCCACAACGCGATTTTAGTGATCCTCCCGCGTCAATTTCACCGGCTGAGAGCCTGGCATGAAGAACAGAATTCTTTAATTTCCGTTACCACGCCATACTTGATGCTACACAAAATGCTGAGATTTCAGCCATATTTAGTGGGAGAACTATGGCGATCGCAGCGCCGATTAGTCAAAGTACAGATGCTGCACTTTATTACACAGATGTCGCATCATATAAAACTATGCCTACTCAATAATGTTCTCAAAACTGAGAGGTGTGCATATGCTCTTCAGGCCTTTTAGGCCATAAACACACACAGATCAGTAAAATGCAATAAATTCAGCAGAATGTAAAGCGGAAAACAGACAGAGAAACCGCTCAGAAATTTGAGTTTGAGTTTTCTCCATCGTCCGCTGCGATCGCTGTGATCTTTTTTATTACTGAACATCATCTTAGCGCTTTTTAGCTAAAATACCAGCTTTATTTTAGCTTCGATGATTCGCTCAGGCCAAAAAGAATTCAAACATTTATTCGTTTCGTCGCCATATTTCTCCATAGCAAAGCCATACAGAAATTGAGCATATTTTTCACACTTTCCCCAAACTTGTTCAGATATTTTTAGCCTTGGCTGTCAGTGGGGCAATGATAGCGGCATGTTGATATCAATGAACTGATAAGAGTGGACAAACTATTTGTTATCTCACCTTTTCCCGCTCTTTCTCGTCTCTCACTCTCTCTTCCTTGGCGCTCCTCTGGCTCTTCCGGGTGTGATTTCAGAGGGCTTCCGCTGAGTCTGGCCAAATCAATTGGTTGAGCAGGCAATTTGCCGTGTGTGTTTGAGATTCCTCCCCCAGATGTTTGTCAACAGACTTTTGCCTAAAAATACCATTTGAAATAGGCGCTGAATGTGGAAAAAAAGTCTCGCGTGTGTGTTTGGCAAAAGCAGAGTGAAATAAAGTGCTGAGGATGAGTTTTTTTGTCGCCTGTTAACTGAAGAATTTCGTGGATTTTCTCGCGAATTTTTGTGTCATTTTGATTTGTGTGATTGCGATGGGGGGCCCGTGAGCCGAAGCGAGATGGCAGATGCCTGAATGACGACAATTGCGGGAGGAGAAGGAGCGTGTGTGCGAGAGAGATTCTTCGCTGGCTCACGGGCGCTCGCGGGGGAACGTGAGAGAGAGAGAATGATGAAAAACCACCCACTATCGGGATGACAGGAAAGTGCGCCACACAGAAAAATTGCCTTATCAGCTCACGCAGGTCCGTGTGTTGACTGTGCGCGACGCGGGGGGCGCGCGTTGATAAGCGGGGGCGGATTCCTTCACGGAAATTTGGCGATCGCCACTCGAGCTGCCATCGAAGATTGCATCTTTCACGCACTCACTTTCGCACAGATTCACCACACTTTCACGCGTGATCACTACTCGTGACACTGCCACAGGTCTCTAAGTGCACGTTTATCGTGTCTCTTCACTCTTTCTCCGCGAAAATGCGCTGGAAAATGACCTTTTCCACCACTATTTTGCTCTTTTTTCCACTCTACGCGATTTGTCACTGTCAAGATCGCCCTCTCAGCGCTGGCAGCGCCATCAGCGTGTGATTCTCGTGGGAGCCGCGAAATCGCCTTAGCGGCGCACGCATCGCTGACGGCCGGTCGAGAGACGCGCTTTGCCGGGCGGAGAGCAATTGATAAAATCCGCCTAAAGCTGATAAATCCACCAAAGCAAGGGTCATATTTCAATCTAATCAGTGCGAGAGTGATGACTTGGCTGCTCAGGCCGCTGCTGCGCGTGAAAAGTCTCGCCAGGTCCGTGTACAGTGTCTCATCGGCAGCGTCACCTGAAACCGCCCTAGAGATGAAAGCCAGTGTCTTCAAGTATTCCCGGCGATTCGAGGGAGAGCCCAAGGTGTCGGACTTCAAGCTGGTGCAGGAGGAGCTGAAGACACTTGAGGAAAATGGTGAGGAAAAGTACTCCAGTGAAATCTAGAGGATCTCCAGTTCAGTCAAGTATTTGTGGAGATAAGATTAGAGACTCCCTCTAACCCCAAAACAATTAGTCATCCGGAAGGCTTCTTTACACCTCACTTTCTGGGGAGTATTTCCTGATGATTCTCTGCAATTATTTCTGAAATCTTCCTCTTGAATTTCGGTTAATCATTTTTTCCGTGCATCTATGCAGAAATCCTCTGCGAGGCGCAATTCTGGAGCGTTGATCCCTACATGAGAGTCTACATGGAGAGTCATCCGCTGGGCGTCACCATGATTGGTGGTCAAGTGGCCAGGATCATTGAGAGCAAGAACGCCAAATTCCCGGCAAACTCCTGGATGTTTGCCTACTTTGGCTGGCGCACGCACACTGTAATCAATCCGGAGACGGCTCCAGTCGAGGCTCAGGTGCGCCTCTTGGGCGATATGGGCAACCTGTCCCCTTCCCTGGCTCTGGGGAGTCTCGGGATGCCCGGGAACACCGCCTACTTCGGCCTGCTGGAGCTCTGCAAGCCGCAAGCCGGTGAGACAGTCGTTGTGTCCGGAGCCGCGGGCGCCGTTGGCTCTCTCGTGGGCCAGATAGCCAAGATCAAGGGATGTCGCGTGGTGGGCATCGCCGGTGGGCCGGAGAAGTGTGCCTGGCTGACGAAGGATTTGGGCTTCGACTCGGCGATCGACTACAAGGCGCAAGATGTGCGCGGGGCGCTGAAGGAAGCCGCGCCGAAGGGCGTCGATTGCTACTTTGACAACGTCGGTGGCGAGATTAGCTCCGCCGTGATCCGGCAGATGAATCAATTCGGCAGGATCTCCGTGTGTGGCTCCATCAGTTCCTACAACGACGATCCGAAGAGCTGGCCGAAAGTGCCTCACGTGCAGCCGGAGCTTGTGTTCAAGCAGCTGAAGATGGAGGGATTCATCGTGACGCGCTGGCTGCATCGCTGGATGGAAGGCATCTCGGCGATGAAACAGTGGATGAAGGAGGGCAAGGTGAAGAGCCACGAGACCTTCACCGAGGGCTTCGAGAACCTTCCGCGCGCCTTCATCGACATGATGGCGGGCAAGAATGTGGGCAAAGCCGTCGTGAAGGCTAAGATGTAACTCAAGGGTATTACAGAAGATAATAATAATGACAGAGGCTATGATTTACAAAAGAAATTGTGTTTTTTCTGTGTGAAAAAAGAAGTTGAGAGGCAAAAAAAAGAGATTGTCAGAAGTGGGATTCGAACCCACGCCCACAGAAGTGGACTGCGACCTGAACGCAGCGCCTTAGACCACTCGGCCATCCTGACTTGAAGCTGAGTGTGACAAAAGTTGCCGACTATCCAACCGGAGACGCATTTTCCCCTCAGCCAAGACACCAATCACACACCTGTTGAATCGCAAGCGCAAACCACATTTCGGCTGGATTTTCATCATCAAAACACGTCATTTGCGCCATTTCTTCTTCACGTCATGAATTGGACGCTGTTTTTATTGTTAAAATTATAGGCACAAATAGGCTCACAATCACGCACAACCCTGAAACCGCGCGTATGTTTTCTCCCAACTCGCAAATGCATCAATTGCCAGGACGGCATATGCGCAGCCGGGCTTCAAGTCAGGATGGCCGAGTGGTCTAAGGCGCTGCGTTCAGGTCGCAGTCCACTTCTGTGGGCGTGGGTTCGAATCCCACTTCTGACAATCTCTTTTTTTGCACCTCTCGGCATCACTGCAAATACTTATCATCGCCGGCAATCTCAATTCCAACGCCTTCGCGATTCTCGTAGTTCCAGAACTTGTGGAATTCTATCAAGATGGACATCATTGTGGGTCCTTGACCGCTGAAAGGAGACACAAAAAGGCGATTAGTAGGTGTTTCCCACAGCGGAAATCTGTGATTTACCATCTTGCAATGTCTGCAAAGGTGATCTTGCAAGGATCTTCGGGCTTCACCATGTCGAAGATCTCATCCTTGAGGTCATCAAAGTGAACTGTCTGCACGCAATGCGCCGCCATCTGCTCCTCAATGCCCTTGAAGAAGTACTTGAGATCCGCCGGCGTGAGATAGCCGCGCTGATGGAGATCCAGGAGGCGGAAAATGTACTGCTGACTCTGAATCTCCGTGCGATTCTCCATGGCGAGGACAAAGTCCAGGTAAGTCTTGTAATCCATCTCACCCTCGTACGTCAGACACTCGCTGAACAGTCTGTCCAGGAACACAGACGTCAGCGTGCCCGAGCCGTAGCCCATCAGCTCTGACTTGCTCAACATGCCATTGTGATCCTTGTCGAGATTCAAGTAGTGTCCATAAACACTCAATGCCGACGGCGCCGAGAACCAGTTGAGCTCTTGCGAATCCTTGGGACTCTCGTCATCGCGCAACTCCATCAGTTCGTCCAGGAATGTGTGCGAAAGTATGTCACGCACCCGAATCTTCCCCGTTCGCGCTGGATCGAGGAAGAAGAAAAACTTCCTCACCGCCGTGCACACGTAGAAGCTGTAGAATGTCTTCTCTAGTCCCTTCAGCTGCAGCAATGTTGGGATGAGCTCGAGAATGTAGCTCTCCAGGTCGGATTCTCTCAAATATCCCAACCCATTCTGATCGTACAGTGACAGAGAGATTCGCGTCTGCTGAATCCACACTTTCCGCATCACGTAATTGAACAGGGAGATCACGCTGATCTTTCCCGGCAGACTCGAGATGGATTGCAGCCGGGCAAAGGCCAGAACAGTCAACATTCGCCTGTAGATTGGCTTCAGTGTGCGACTGAGATTGATGTAGTCATTGAATGTGATGTACAACTCTCCACTGTGACTCCTCCGGGAGAATTGATTCTCCAGAATCATCCAGAATGTCTTGAGATCATTGTTATTGAGCAATTCCTCGCTTCTCTTCTTCAGAAACACCGTTCTCACGTGTTCCCTCAGTTTGTACATTAAACTCTCCACTGGACGTGGGGTTGAGTGATAAAATTTAGGAATCACCCGATAATTCCTCGTAGATTTTTCCACATTCTCATGGCAGGAAGTATTTTCCGGGGACTTTTTGTCACCATTTAAGGTTATGTTTTGTGTTTCATCTGCAAACAATCCGTGGAGAAATCGTTAGTGTTGAGCAAATAACTGATTTAAAAGACACTTTGTAGTCTTCTTTACAGACTGCAATGATAATTTACCCAATTTCCTGGCTCTTTCCAGGATAAAATCCCGGAATTTCATCCTGTCCAGAGTGAAATGTAAACACTAAACACTAAACTGAAGTTAGTCGAAAAACAAGCCGCGGATTGCGGTTTGTGTCTTGACTAGTCGAAAAGCTGTTGCATTCAAATTTGCTGCTCATCGAAACACAAATCGACTGAAAATACCAGAAAACTCAATTTCCCGAACAGAATAAGAAATTAGGAATTGATAAAGATAATTCCCTTATGGTTCTGAACCTTCTGAACAAATGAGGAAAATCAAATTTCGTGAAAATGCCAGTGAAATCCTGCCTGAGCCGAACGAATCGTACTATTTTTTCGAATAACTCTGTGCGTCAGTGGATCAGCTGTTCAGTATTTTGTCGTCAACAATGGCGAGTGATTTTGTGCGGGAAGAAATTGTGGCTGAGAAAGTGGAGAAAAATGTCTCAAATCAGAGTGAAAGTGGTGCCAATGAGGAGCAGAACGCCTTGTCCAGTGATTCTGAGAGCAAACTCACCATTTGCACGAGTCTTCCGGTAAAGAAGCGACGATTGAAAAGGTGAGACACTGAAGATTCACTTTCTCTTCCCCATCTTGAATCTCACCTGTGTTTATGTGTGTGTTTCTGGCCAGGAAACTCACTCCAGAGCGCAAGCAACCGGTCCAGCAGACTACAAGTGATGACCCAGAAGTGTCAGAGGTGAAAAATCTCTCTCCAGACGAGATCAGGAAGATTATAAAGGTGCGAAATAACCTCACTTTGGTGGCCTTTTTCTCATGTTCCTCCTTTGCAGACTGTTGTGTCCAATGATCACGTCCTGGCGATAGTGCGTCTGAAGGAGGAGGAGGCGGACGAGGAGGAGGTGGAAATTGAGCGAGAGGCTGTGGATCTCATGCCAAAGTTGACGCGATTGAAGGCGAAGGAGCTGAACAAGCAGCTGCCGTCCATCATTCCGCTGACGCTGAAGCCTCCGGACGATGAGTCAGAGACGGCGATGCTGCTGACGAAGGAGCTGGACGAGGAGGATGCCGACGATGAGGAGTACAAGCCGTCCGTGGAGGATTTCCTGTCGGACGACGAGACAAACACGTCAATCTCCGACGTGGACTCGCAGCCGGCCACTCCGGCGGATCCTGTGGCACTGCAGGAGGAGGAGAACAGCGTGCAATACACGCACGATGGGCTGTTCAAAGTGCCGCAGACGTGCGCCACGCCGTCGCCCAGTAAGAAGCCGCCGGACGGCTTCCGGCCGCCGGCGTTGGGCACAAGATCGAAGGTGTCACTCACGAAGACCGCCATCGAGGACATCGAGGAGACCTTCGTGCCGCCAGACATCACCACGGACATGTACGACATCGATTGCGACATGGACAACGTGTGGCAGGAGTTCCTGAACGCCTTCCGACGGCCGCTGCCCACGCCGGAGACGCACGAGGAGGACGAGGAGGCGGATCCGGAGTACGTGGCGGCAGATCAGATTCCGCTGGACAAGGAGGAGCTGCGCGAGGTGAAGGTGAGTCGCAAGGAGCTGAGTGATCTAATGGCGGAGCTCTTTGACGGCATCAATGATGACGCCGAGATCATCGGCGCAGAAGTGCAGCAGCCGCCGACTGGCGAGGAGGAGGCGTGCGGCGCTCGCACAAAGCCCACGCCCACGAAGTACCAGAAGAACCCTCGGCTGGACGACACGCCGGAGCCGCTGGTGTACGAAATGCCGACGCACTCCACGCCGCTCGTCTATCACTATCAGCCGCCGGCGCCGCCGTTCCAGGAGGCGCTCGACATGTCCGCCGTGCTGGAGAATTCGCTGGACATGGAGCTGCTGTCCGACAGCTCGACGGAGGTGATGAACTTCACCGCCGCGGACACGCCCAAGGAGATCTTCTACAAGGTGATGGAGCTGAAGTTCCGCCAGATGTCACGCATGCAGCCCGTGGAGGCGTTCGAGCCTGGTCAGGTGGGCTTCACGGACTTCCAGCGGCAGATTCTCGCGCAGCAGCTGCGCATGCATGTGCAGCTCAATGTGCAGCACTTTGTGCAGACATACTCGCATCCCAAGCTGTGGCGTGACGCTGAGAAGCCTCGCCGGATGCTGGCAGAGCTCCTCGAGAGCGCCCGGAGCAATCGCAACTCCGCCTTCAATGCCATCAATCTGCATGGCGCCATTGAGCTGTGCGACTCGTGGCAGCGGGAAATGGATGTGGTGAGTGAGGAGAATGCGCAGCTGATGAGGGAGTTGCAGGAGACTGTGCGACTGGAGGAGGAGCGGAAGAATGTGAAGCAGTGGAGCATGAAGATGTTCAACAGTCGCATTGTGAATCTCATGATCAATTCCACGGTGTTTCTCTATCCAAAACTCCTGCCCAACATTCCCTTCCGCATCATGCCGTTCCCCTACAACTTCCACCGCAACGAGGGCAGCGTCATCATCCACTTCTACGACACGGTGCTGCAGGATCTGCGCGAACAGGCGCGCCAGCAGCGGAAGTACATCGAGCCGAGCCGGATGCGCGTGTGCGAGAAGATCTGCCGCTACATTTGCGACTGGCGAAATCCGAGGCAGATCTACAAGTATCTGGATAGGGAGAAGCGCTCAAAAACCATGAATCCGATCAGGGTGAGAAGCACCTCAATTTCTGAATACTGAAGAGGAAGATGAGATTTCAAACTCTTTGCAGTTCTACTTCGAGAATAATCGCCTTCTGCCTGTGTGTCATGTGATAGAGAGCATCAATCCCAACCAGGTTCCGGCTGATCTGCCCACCAGTAGTCTGCCCAAGAACTGGGAAGCCTTTTTCCTGGCGGAGAAGAAGGTGAGGTTTTTATTTTTCCCACATAACCCAACATTTCGTGGCGGGATTTCGATTTTCCAACGATATATCGCAAAGTTGTGATTATATCGGGAAAGTTGACAACTCGACTTTTTGTTTACATTTTCGGGCAAAACATTCAGAGAAGTTTATCGGTGTGAAAATCTGTTTTTGCAGAGGAAGCAGAAGGCACAGAAGGAGCGTGAAGTGCTGACCCAGAAGCGAAAGAGGGCGAAGGTGAAGCAGAAAGTGCGGGAGTTGAAGAGCAATCCGGGAAGCTTGAGTCGCATCTCGTGGGATTCGTCGGGGGCAGAAGAGGAGGAGGTGCAGGAGGAGAAGGAGATTCTGGGGGATCTCCTGGGCAGTGGCGTGGTGAGACTGAAGAAGAAGCTGGAGAGAATCCTCAGGGAGTACAATTGTAGTCCGGAAGAGAGATTGCGGGACTTCCGAAGTTGCGCCATTCTGTCGAAGATCTTTAATTTCTTCTGGGAGTTCGATTTGTTTGTGCGCGTGCTGCGCAAGGCCATGCAGGCGGACAAGAGGGCGCGCGAGGAGGAGGCCAAGAAGGTGGTGGACGAGGAGCAGGAGAAGCCGAAGAGGCACAAGCATCGGCTGCACGACAGCAATCGGCTGCTGCTGCTGCCAGAGCGCAGTGAGGATGTGATGCAGAAGGATTCCGTGTACTCGTGGAACTTCTTCGAGAAGGTGGAGTGCACATTCAAGGCGGCCAAGCAGTTTGACAAATTCGAGCGCTTCCTGGTCATTCTCAACACCTTCAAGCCGGGCAGAGATGAAGTGGCGGATCTGTACTATCGCCTGGAGGATCTCTTTCTGCCCGATCATCCGGAGCTGGCGGAGTTGTTTCTCACACTCCTGCTGCCCGGCCATGCGGCGCAGCTGGGGAAGTTCTTCGAGCACTTCATGCTCACCAACATGCAGACGCTCCTCATGCGCATCAACACGTACTTCGCCAAGCAGCCGCATCAGCTCAAGAAGATCTACGCGTGTCTCAATGAGTTGTCGCGCGAGGAAGGTCTGACCATGGACAAGATCAAGGCGCGCTTCCTGCCGCTCCTCAAGGGCAATCAACTGCTCACCGACTGGTTCCTGCAACTCTTCCCCAACGAGCGTCCGCCGGCCAGCGATGGCGATGAGTTCGAGGTGGTCTCGCTGCGCAAGCACGTGCCGGAGGAGGAGGTGGCCAAGAGGAGTCTCACGGAGGAGATCCAGACAGATCGACTGGCGGATCCCTTCGACAACGCGCCGTGCTCCATCAAGTACATGCAGGGCCGCATTTACTACGGCAATCGCGTCCTGCTGCCGGCCGAGCTGTCCTTCCTCGCTGCCAGTCAGGAGGCGGCGGAGAGTCGCCAGGACAAGGCCAGTCGCGCGAGGAGCGACGCCAAGTGCGTCCACGAGATCAAGCAGGTGAGTTTCTGGCTTTCTCGCTACCAAATTAGCGTAATTCTTTGAATTTTCAATCACAGGCGTGGGACCAGAAGATCCAGGAGGGCCTGCGACTGCTGCAATCGGAGCCGCCGGACGCCGGCCCAGCAGATGCTGCCGCCGCGGACGATCACGTCGCCGAGCAGCCGGCGAAGCTGTGCGACTATCCGACGCTGAAGATGCACGCGTATCGCCTGAATCCGCACGCCATCACCAGCGAGATGGTGCTGGCGTGCCAGGAGTCGGCCGAGGAGGGCAAGGCGTCGCCGAAGAAGGCGGGCGGCAGCAAGAAGAATCCCACGTCACCAAAGAGGAGTGCGACGAAGGGCGGCGCCAAAGTGGAGACGGATTCGGCGGTGGAAATGGCCAGGCGACTGAAGATGTTCCTCACGGCCGAGGAGAAGCCGCCGAAGCCGCGAAGAGTACGACAGAAGAAGCCGCCGGAAGATGAGGAGGAAGAGGAGGAGGAGGAGAAAGAGGAAGTCATTCCGGAGAAGGTCAGTTCACAGAACTTGATTTAATGCAATTCAAGAGTAGGTTTTGGACTTTTTCCATGATTTTCAACAGTTTTCTGGCGACTTTCAGTGCTTTTTCAGCATGACTTTTGAGTTTTCAACGTGTTTTGATAAGAACAATTTTAGCCGTTGTCGTTGTTAATCATCTTTTCCATCAGAAAACTTACCCAGAAACCACAAATGCTCTTGCAATTCGCGTGAATTTGAGGAATCGTGCGCTGAAAGGTCGTGAGATTCTTGGGCACGTGCGGAAATCTTTGCCCATAGATAAGAAGAAGAAGGGAGAAATGCTGAGTGTCACCTTGGCTTTTGCAGGTGGAGACGAGTGAAGAGGACGTGACGTGGACACGCGACCAGGACAAGGTGATCCTGGAGGTGATCAACGGTGAGCTGGACTCGGAGGAGGAGGTGATTGAGCGCCTCGTGGAGCTGATGACTGAGCGGACGCGCGAGCAAATCACCACGAGATTCCACTTCCTGCTCAACGTGCTGCGCAAATTCAACACGGACGACTGACAGGCGCTTTATTAAATGCTTTTACGTTCAATCTCACTTGGTCTTCTTCTTGAGCGCATCCAGGCGCTGCAGCAGCGTTGGGTGCGAGTGATTCCATGCGGAGTAGAGCCAGTCGTAGACGGGAAAGCCAAGGTTGTCCACGTTAAGCTTCACCAGCGCCTTGCCGAGTTCCGTGGCGAAGCCGAGCTTCTGCGCAAAAGCGTCCGCTTGATACTCAAAGCGGCGCGACAGCGTGGTCATGGCGAAGTTGATGACGGCGTTGTAGGGCGCCAGGACGTACGTGAACACCACCAGCAGCCCGATCAGCACGGGCTGCACGCCCACGGGAAATCCCAGCGCCTGGTACAGCACGGGCGTGCGGAAGAGCCAGGCGAAGGCGCTGAACAGCAAGAACAGGTGAACCTGCAACGATTCAACACGGTTAAAGAGTGGCAACATCGTTTCGGCGGAAAGATCTTGATGTCAGTTAGAACATATTGAAATTTGGGGCTAATCCAGGCGATAGAGCTTGAGTAAAGGAGGAAAAGGTGTATTTTTGGTTTTCAAAATGGCGGAAAAAATGGTGGAGGGTTAGAAGTGGCGTCGCCAAACACTAGCGACACGGCAACTTCTCACTTTTGCATGAAAATCTCTAGTCAACTTGTGACTGACGGACAATTATCCCACCTGCATGATGACGAGGTTCTTGGTGATGTGGCCAAGCTTCCAGTGGCCGAGCTCGTGTCCCAGCACGGCCAGGACTTCGCTGTCCTCACAGCCGCGGCCCTTCTCCTCCTCCGCGAGGCCCTCGTCCGTGGCGGCGCCCTTGTTGAGCAGCAGCGTGTCGAACAGCACGATGCGCTTGGAGCCCCACAGGCCGTAGAAGTAGGCGTTGCTGTGTGCGCTGCGCTTCGAGCCTTCGACGACGTAGAGCTGCTTGAGTGGGAACTTGAGCGACGCCGCCAGCTCCTCGATGCTCTTGCGCAGCGGGCCTTCGTCCAGTGGGCGGTACTTGTCGAAGAGGGGCGCTATGAGGCTGGGATAGAGTGTCATGAGGAGCAGCGTGACGGCGCTGGTGAAGAGCCAGAGCCAGACGAAGAAGTAGTCGCCCCCGCTCTGCACGATGGCCACGACGGCCGCCACGATGGGCAGCGAGATCACGCTGGCCACCACGAAGCTCTTCACCTGGTCCTTGACGAAGAAGCCCGGCGTCTGCTTGTTGAAGCCGTGGCGCTCCTCCAGCACAAACGTGCGATACACCTTGAAGGGCAGCGCCTTCACGGTGCTGATGACGGTCAGCACCAGCACGAACATGCAGCTCACGTAGATCTCACTGGTGCTGTCCAGCAGGCGGCTCGTGAAGTCCTCCGAGAGCGCCCAGACGTAGGCGAAGAAGCCGAGATAGAGCTCAAGTGGAACGATGAAGAGTTGCATGACAATTGACTGGATCACATTGAACTCCTCCTTGTCCAGGCCATACACGCGCGCCTTGTGGAATGTCTCCTCCGTGATGACATCGTCCAGCTCCCGCGGAATCTTCCTGGCAGTCTTGTACACGCGAATCTGCAGACAGACAAATTGCGTCAGCCGTTTTCCGGGCGGCGAAGCAGGCGAAGAGATAAACAAACCTGGCGCCAATTGAGGTAAATCTCAACAGAATTCTCGAGGAGAATCACCCCAAGGATGGAATAGAGCGCGAGATCACTGGTTAACATGCTTGTGCGGTTCTGTCTGGGGAAAATCACGCAGAAGGCGAGAATTTTCCACTTTTTCCAAATGTCACACTCTGTTGACGTTTTGCCGTGCGCCGAAATTTCACTCCGAACGGCGGTTTGTGTCTCGGAAATGGCCGAAACACGGATGAATGCGAGATGAAACATCATGGAAAATGTATGAAAACTCGAACGGAATCTATCTTAAAATCCTTAAAGTGACGAAAAGAGTGTTAATGAATACTGAAAACAAACTAAAATGTTCCCAGGAAAGTTAAATATAACAAAATCTGGCAAAAAGAGAATTTTTATTTGAGGCAAGTATTTTGCCCTCACGCAACTTCCAGAGGCTCTCGCGGCAGCAAACAGCCTCAGAATCCATCAGCGCAAGCCAATTATTCCTCTCCCAATTCTATCACTTTGTTTGCCGACTTTCTAATTATAGGCCTTTCCACACTCTCTCGCCGGCGTAAACAGAGACGAATCATATCAATAGCATGGCAGGAATGAATGGTCCAGATATTTGTCTGCTGCTTCATTCCGTCACAAAGGATACAGACGCATTATCATTTGAGTTTTTGGTCAAAAGGACATGATAAGCATACGCCAAAGCAAGCTTATGGGCGAGGCAAACAACTAGAAATTTGACCAACTCTATTTTAATACCGAAATTTCAAACCGCCACAAATCAGATTCTCAAATTTCAATTTGTTTTAACTGTTTTATGTGAAATTTTCTGCTGATTATTCTGAAAAATCATGGTCAATTTTGAATTAGCACACTTGAAATTAAATTCAAGCAAAGTCCTTCAGACTTTAATGTTTAACAGAAGAGCTTAAAATTGTCGCAGTTTATGACACTCGTTTGTTTCATATGTGCAAACAGTAACGAGTGTCTTTCATGTCCTTCACAACAACGCACTGTCTAACCTTCCCTGCTGTGCTAAATTCATCCCTTTTGTCTCTCCGCTGCGAAAGGATTCCACACTATATTTCCATTCGGACTAAGTGGCGCCAATTTATTGATTGAACCTCTTGATTTGTGACACTTCTTTTGCTCCATTTCTGCGCCCTCAATTTTTCTACCCCGCGCGAACTTAATAATGTCACAATCAGCGATGAACCGTGTAATTTTGTAAAATCCTATGTAAATTGAGGAACAACATTCTTGAGGCTCAAATTCCGCGAGTGTATTTTTTTTTAACTTTCTGACGCGACGCTTTATTAAATTTATATGCGGAAATGGGAAGAATAATGAGAGAGATTTCAACTTCTCAAGCACTCTTTCTTCACACACCCTCCAAAAGCACAACTGACGGTGTTAACAAGTTGCAGAGGACCAAAATAGATCTCTCTTCGTATTCAATGAACTCCTTTTCTGTTTGAGTGAAAAGTCAATTCTATGCGCTTGTTTAATCAACAATTCAATTACTCAAACCATCCTTCTTAAGGGTGAATCGCAAACATGACACAATTAATTTCTCCACAACAGCGATTCTTATGTGCGTGGCAGCGTAATTAATGATGATGGCTCGTGTGTGTGTCATCAAAAGCCATAAGCTATATAATATGTTGATATGGAACAGACAATCTGATAAATAAATTTAGAAAGAGGAAAATGCCTTCCAAACACGCATCCCAAATGACCAATTTTCCCCATTTCCATTCGCCACGCACAGATATTTTGGAATTTCCACACCAAATCAAACCGCACAAAACGCTAAACAGACATTTGCAAGGGGGAGATAATGCGGACAAATGTGGTGTGAAGATCAGAAGAGGTTTAAAGCAGTGGAAATGATTAAATTTTGCGGAATATTTAGTTCGCAGCTTCGATTTTCTTCTCTCAGGAATTTATTCCTATCCAAATCTTAATTTTGACATATTTTTTCTAGGTTATGTGACTGATTTAAGACTAAAAACATCTTAAAGTAGAAATTCTGACGCCTAAACTGAAAGTATTTTCACTTTTTTACGAGGATTGCTCAAGTGAGTAATGGACAAATCATTCCTGCCGGAATATTATAGAATATCTAAGAATTGATTTAAAAATAAGTGAAAATCATTTGCAATACGCAGAATATGTGATGAATATGTGGAGAAGTTAGAAGCTTAAGAATGGAAAAATGGAAAAAAAACTTTCTCTCATTCTGAGAGGAAAAGCAATTCTGCGCGTCAGATTGAGATATTAGAGATAATTCCTGAAGAAAACATTATATTTAGTGAAGAAAAATACACGAAAAAGGATATAAAAGTGAAAAAGAGCAGTGAAAAAATCACAACTGAAGGAGAATCGAACCCGCGACACTTCAAGATCTTGTGCTAAATTCTCTTATGTGGAAGATTTGCGCTGGAATTTGTGCAAAAGTCTTTCTGTCTAAGACGATTTTGATAAATTCAAGTTCGATTTGGGGATATTTTGTAATTCTTTCGAAAGAATATTCCAGGAATGGAATATGGTATATATAAGAATATTCAAAGAATGGAAACCACTTTTCGTCTTGGCATTTGATGCTACACTTCGTTTCTCTTTTTCTTTCTTGTCTTTCCCAGTATAAATGACTGGAAAAGCGTGTCATTTATCATCGCACAGTGCCGTATTCGGTGTGAAGAAAGAGCGCCGCGGCACGAGTGAATGGAAATGATCACGCTGACGGTGGGGCGGCGCGAGGCGCACTTCGGTGTCAGCGACTGAGAGTCGACTGAGGGCGATCAGTTGATTTCAATGCTGTGCCCCGCGAGTTCGTGTCGATTGAATGGGGCCTTGCGCACTTTCTGCATCTCTCTTCCGGAGAGAAAGTGACATCGTCACACCCGCGAATCAGATGATTTTCGGGCCTCGCCGGTCTCTGTGATCTTACGCCGCCCACCGCGCGCGCGGCGGATAGTTTATCATCACGGCACAATTGTGATTGCGAGGACAGGAGAGTTGCAGTCGGGTATAAAACGGTGACTGTGACTCTTTTATTTCAAAAATAAAGTGTACATTAGTCCAGAGGTGAACAACCTTGTGAAGCAGTCTCTGTGCAGCATTGTGTCTGTTTCTTCGCTCTCGCGCGCGCTGCTCATGTGGCCACCTTGGGAATGGTTGGGAAAATGTCTCAACCACACAACTTAATACATAATGAGAAGCCATAAATTATCTCGTCTTTATCATTGAATGATTATGGTGGTGTCATGGTTGCCCGTGACACACGCTGAGGAAAAATCGCGCGAAAATGGCATGGGAACAAAGGTATGAGAGAAACTGAGGGGCTCTCATTTGCCGAGAGGCGGCACACTTCTGCCAGTCTGTGCAACAGTGCGCGCCGAGTGATTGTCGCTTTTTCAAGGTGCCCCTCGGGCCATAGTTTAATTGCCATTGCGTGAAGAAAATAAAAGTGTTTGTCCCGGACAATTCTACCTATTTCCCTATTGTTTGCATAATTTCACAAAAAGAAAATATTGATTTTTCTCAACTGAATTGCCTACAATTTTTGCCAAAAGTAGAATTTTCAATATAACTGATATAGAGTAATTAATATTCCTTGGTATACTTTTATCCCACCTTTTCCCGACTATATAAAAATTGACCTGAAAACTGCGGAACTCTCAGTGACTTTCAATTCTTTAACACTTCCCATGTTGAAACATTAAATTTCAGTGACGTATTTTTGCGCTCACAACTATTAAAATGCCTTTTTTTTTCGTGTGTGTTCATTGAGTAATAGGGATTTGGTGACCCCTTGGATTAACGCAAGCACTCTCGTCACCACGAGAGTATATTTATACACTGTTCACAATCACATCAGCACAGAGAGAGAAATGTCTATCAAGAGGAATTCTCAGTGGGATTTCTTATCTAATTCGAGTCATTCTCACATAGTACAGCTGATAATAATAATTGATAGTGCTCGCCAGAATAGCTAAGGATTTTCCTCACAGAGACTTTTTTATAGTTTTCCATCTGTTTGACGCATATTATTGCCTGACTTCCGCGAGGATGTGTCGTCTATAGACTCTATCTCTTCCCTCTCTCTGTCTTATGTATTTCTGGGGAGAAAGTGAAGAAGTGAATGTGGATGTTTTGGCGGGAACACTCCGCCGAAGACTGACCTGCCTCACTTTGGAGGTCGTTGAGCGGAAGTGTGGTCTACCTGTTGATTAGAGACGCTCACAGATGGGCAAAATGGAGTGGCTTCGGAGAGTGTTCAAAAGGTCAGACACCTCCTCATCCGCCCCTGAGCATGACGAGACACTAGAGTCTGCGGAGGAGTATCGACAGCGCTGGTATTCAGTCAGAGTCATCTACTTCACCATGTTCCTCATGTCCCTGGGCTTCAGTATCATCCTCACGGGCATCTGGCCATATCTCAATAAGGTGCATTTTCTAATCAAATTGCCCCATGAAAGTGCAACTAAAGTTTGATTCTCTTCTGCAGCTGGATCCTCAGGCTGGCAAAGACTTCATGGGCTACATTGTGGGCGCCAATCCCTTCGGCCAGATGCTCTTCAGTCCACTCTTTGGGTGGTGGAGCAACAAACTCTCCTCCATTCGCGTACCATTGCTCATTTCCCTGGCCATCTTCACTACTGCCAGCGCCGTGTACTCTTCCATTGAAATTCTTCCCTCACATCACAAGTACTGGATGCTCTTCTCGCGCTTCTTCGTCGGCGTCAGCTCCTCCAACATCGCCGTGTGCCGATCTTACCTCTCCGCCGCGACACGACTCAAGGAGCGCACCGGAGCCGTGGCCATGGTGTCTCTGGCACAGGTGCTGGGCTTCGTGGTGGGTCCTGCCATCCAGGCGGCAGTCACGCAGCTCGGCGAGCACGGCCTAATCATCCCAGGTGTCTTCCATCTCAACATGTACACAGCCGCCGGCTGGATTAATGTCCTGCTCGGCATCGGGAACTTCTGCATGTTCCTGCCGACCTTCTTCAAGGTTATTAAAAAGAGAAGCAAACAATGCTGTCATCCCTCTAGTGTTGAATGATCCGTCTTTTTTTTGTCCATCCAGGAGAGACGCATTGCTGCCAAAGAAGTGATGATATTGCAGGGCAAGGGTGACGAGAGAGAGACCTGGAAGTCCATCAAGCCTGACTACTTCTCAGCCTGGACACTCATTGTTGCCTTCTTCATTCTGGTCTTCAATTTTGTCCTGCTAGAAACGTAATCTCTTAACTTAAGAATTCCCTGATGTGCGCGGAAAAAACTTATCGTGTGGTTTTCACATATCTTCCAGACTCGGGACTTCACTGACCATGGATCAGTTCGCGTGGTCCAAGATGGAGGCCCTCTCCTACATGGGCATCCTTATGTCCGTGGGCGCCGTGATTGCGTGCGTGACGTTCGTTGCCATCAATCCACTGTGTAAGCGCTTCGATGAGCGCAAAGTTCTGCTGTGGGGCGGATTCTTCTTCATGGTCCTCGGCAGGGCACTCTACATTCCCTGGGGCAGTGCGCCGCCGATCATTGCCGAGATGGGGAACGGCACTGTGTCCGACACGGAGATTCTGGGCTGTCCATCGACCCAGGAGTGGTGTCGCACCACACCCGCGATGACCATCATGCAGTTCCTTCTCGGCTACATCACCACGTCCATCGGCTATCCAATCGGTGTGACGCTCATTCAGACGATCTTCTCGAAGATCCTCGGGCCACGCCCACAAGGCACCTGGATGGGCCTGATGACGGGCTCTGGGTGTCTGTCCAGAGTCCTGGGACCGGTCTTCGTGGGTTACATCTACACGCGATTGGGAACATTTTGGACTTTCGGCGTGACGACAGTCATGATGGCTGTGGCCATGATATGGTTGTGCCTCTTCAGCAATCGCCTCGTGCCTCCAGAGCTGGATCATCCTGCGCCAGCTGCAGTTGAACTCCATGAAATGTCAATGGTGAAGCTCGCCTCCAGGGAATCCCTAGATCATGAGCTCGAAGCCCTCAGGAAACCAGAAAAAGTGGAGGATCGATAGATCACACAAGAGAATTTATCTTGCTATACAGATCACAATAAAGAAAATTATATAATTTTATACAAGGCGGGGGCTGTCCGGTCATGTACAGATTTTAGCAACATTATTTTCCCCTTGGACATTTGTAGCATTTGGAAAGACGAAATTGGGTCGGAGAAGTTGTAATATTGGATTCTCAGTGCAATCTCAAGGGTTTTTCCGTAATGTAAACTTTACACACTGCAACAACCTTCTGACCAGCTGTTCTGGCATCGTTAAGGAAGCAATTTGTTGAATGGGAATAACAAGACTTGCTGTGCATCGGAAATTGAAGAATTGTTGGTGTATAAACAAACAATCTTTAACTGTTTCTGCTTTGAGTTTGAGACAAAACGGGTGAAAAACATGGCAAATTCAGAGTTACTTTTTGTCGCTCAGCAAATAAATTTTTACAGAATTATCATTTCTTTTCCCCATCAATTATATTTTCCACCATCAGTTTTACGGTCAGCTGCATAACTTATAAATGACGCGAGGTCGCTCGAAATGGGGTTGAAACGCATTAACAATAAAACACCTCACAACGTTCGTCATCAAGAAAATGCAGAAACACATTATAATTCGTCTCCTTTTCTCCAAGGGGGAGATTATACAGCTGAAGTGTGTACACCACTCCTTCAGAATATGACTTTTCTCCTTGTTTTCCGGACTTTATTGGCATTTGTATGCAATAAAAATCACTATTCAAGACTTTGGAGGTTAAGAAACACCAGAATTTGTTATTAAATTCAACATAACCTCAAAAATAACATTTTGAACTGGGAAAATGTCCATTTAGATATCCGGAAATCAACAATTGCGAGTTTATTATTAAATCTATAAAGTTGTTTTTGTCATATGCTTAAATTTGAAAACTTTCATTTAATTATTACATAATATTTTCAAGTTATGTCGAAATAGATCCCAAGCAGAGTAACTTGAAGTGTGAATTTTCACAGAAATATTGAATGGAAGCGTAAAAAAAGTCATTATAACATAAGAAATGGAAGTGTCTGGAATTTTGTAGATGAATTGCGAAGTGATGTACAGATTTCAACCAATTATCTCCCCCTTAACCTCAACTACACAATAGTAAAAAAGAAAAATTTCAACTCTCGAACACTCTTTCAGAAGTCCTCCTACCTGCAATTTAGATTGCTATCAAAATGCAAATGCCATGTAAAGTGAAAGAGTTTGTGACGCGATGGAAAAAAAATAGTGTCCCTTTTATTTGTGTGACTCTGAAGAAAATTACAATCAACACAAATAGACGGCGAGAATTTATTTCATTGTCGCCCAGAGTCTTCGCGTCACGAACAGCAGGAATGTCACCCTAATTGAATTTATGTCATGCATTTTCCTATTTGAAACAAACATGGAGTGATTATAAAAAGGCTCGACAAATTACATCATGATAATTTTTGCAGCTGCTGTGACCTCATGAGGTCACCGCGTGGTGTCTTTATGATGATAAATGACACGTTTTTCCCCAATGCTTTTGGCATTTCAGCGAAATAAACTCACTTTTCACGTGTGCTTTGACGCCTGAAAGCCAACATGGCGAACGAATGCCTTTTCATAATACACAGTGTGTCCACGAGAGGGCGTTTTACGCATCAAGATATGTATTTTTTGAGGTTAAGGACCTGGGGAAACACAATCCAAATGGGTCACGTGCTGAGGAAAACCCGGAAAATCGTTCAGTTTCTTTGAGGGTGAGAGCAATAAAAAGTTATGTATGTTATTTTAATGCTCAAATTTCATGGTGAAGCAGCAAAAGTGCATTTCTTCTTCGCCCCCAACCAGAGAGAAACTGAAACAATTTCCTCATATTTCACTCACAACCGCACCCATGCACTGCCCATAAATATGAATATGGGAGAAACATCCTAATCACCAACATCTAAATCATATTATGGGGCTCCTCAGCGTGCTCGCGCCAGACTTAGCAGAGTCAACACATAACCTCAATCAGTATTTGGGCGGGTTATTAATTTATCTGTGGTGGTCGCGGAGTGAAACTCTGTGTCATAAGTCATAGCGCTTAATCACTTGCTCTGTGCCACGCTATTTATGATGTCCCAAAATAAAGTTACACATCAACTTATGGCTTGGCTTAGCTGAATTCCACTGAGATCAAACCATATGTGAGCCCAACGCCTTTCATCACTCTTTCTCTCTCTATTTTGATTCTTTTCCGATTCACAGCGGACTTTTTTCTCTGTATTTCCGGATTGTCAATCACTGTGTGCAATTCGAGAATCGCCGCAAAGGAGCTCGAGTGAGTCACAGTGATGCCAAGGGGCAGAAATTATGGTCAGAAGTGGTGTACAGCTTCAAAGGAAGTGTTAAAAATTGAATGAGTTGAAATATTTCGAATATTTGCATTGAACGAGCTTCAGTTTCAACAAATAGAAGGATTTTTCAGAAGGGGCAAATTCAACCTCCACTTGTAATATTGTAATATTCGACATATTTACTCATTTCCAGATTTGAAATAATTAAAAGTAGTTTAAGAAGAATTTTGGAGCCGGATTCAAACCCTCACAACATGATCCTTGACTTGATCAGAAGTTTTCTAAGCATTTTCTAAAGACAAAACAATTGAAGGGGTCTAAAAATACATTTAAAGACGTTCAGAAGTGTTTAAAATTCGGCATATTGGCTGAAAAAGTGTCAAGAAGTGGTGTACAGATTTAAGGCTTATTATCTCCACCTTGAGTGATGCAAAATAATTGTGTCAATGGGGAAGAGAAGACATAGTCTAATTTCATTTGGCACAGAGTCGCGCAAAATGCCTCTCGCGTGTGTTTCAGCGCACGAAACAATTAACCTTGTATTTTATTTCGGAATTCTCATGTCCCGAAATTCTAGGCATTTCCCATCCCAGAGTTTTAGAGGAATGAGGCAACAAATAATCCAGATAAAGCTCTAGAAGTTTGAGGTTATAAACATCCAAATATCATGAAATCTATATGGCGAAAGTAATTTTGGGGACATAAAGAGCCCCTTATATTCGTATATGATCCCTCGTTAATGTGACAAATGACTTCAGCTTAAGACAATCCCACCCTTCTTGGGCGAGATAATTCGTTAAAGTGCGACAACGTGAAAGAAAGGCCAGATCAAACGAGTCAGAATTTCTGCATGGCTTCCAATGCAATTCTCATTGGGCACAGCAATAAATCAAAAGAGCGGATTCACCCTTTTATGGTATTGAAAGACAGTGAGGAACCCGTTTGCGGCCAACAATTGCTCCTCACTGAAATGTTCTCAGTGCAGTCGAACGTGGAAGTGTTTACTCTTTCAGCTGACGCCGCGATGGGCATCAAAAGACATGTGCGAAAGATTATGAGTTCGCCAAGAAGTGTGTGTGCGTGAAGGTTTCGCATGAAATATTTATATTCACTTATTATGGCTTACGCAACCGTTAAATATGGAGACGACATTTTCCTGCCAATAACGGCGTCATTCTTGAAAGAAATGTATTCCAAAGGGATATATTATATATAGAATTCCATTTACATTTGTTTATATTTATATTCACTGACATTCAACGTCCATCGCCGTCTTAGCGAATGTTATCAGCCTCCAAAGCAAAACGATAGACCGAAAGTAAGAACAATATTCCTTTCCTTAGTGCTTCTCTTACTGCCAAATTATCCCTTTTCTTTGGATCACTGTTGATTTTTTACGCAAAAATCGTTAAAACAATTAAAATAATGCTTATCTAGGTTATGTAAAGGATCAAAGACAGATTTAATGAATCATTTGCATTGAGTGATCGTCAGTCATTGGCAGAATGAAGCATTTTCATGCAATAAATTCCAGTATTTTGACTCTTTTATATCGAGAAACACTGCAAATTGCGTTTTGGTCCAACATAACCTCAAAAAGAAAAATGTGAACCCGGAAAATGTTTATTTCGGAAGCCTTTTGAACTATTTTGACTCTGAATCGTAATTATAAAGGTGGATTTTATGCTCTAGAAACCTTCCAAACGGAGTCTTTGGAGATCTCTTTGTGATATTTTGAAATTATGGTCGGAAAAGACGCCGAGAAAGAGCGATTTTAAGTCAATTCTTGTAGGAGTATCAAAAAAACCAGGCGAACTTCTCGGACAACCGCAAGCCCAGTTCGTCACTGTGCGCCAGAGCGCTTCGAGAGACTCCTTGAGTGTTTCTGCGCTCAGTCAGTCTTCAGAGTTCGCGGTGAGTGGTTGGCGTTATCGCGGTCAGCTGTCGGTCTCACGGTAGCCTCAGACTCTTGTCCGATCAATTAATCGGTGGCATTAATCGCCGTTCTGTGCGGTCGCGAGGACAGTTGTTCAGGTGACAAGTGTGCCTAGAGATTTCACGTGTAAATAGCTGAAAAGTGAGGGACATCAACAGGTGCTCCAAAAGTGATTTTTGTGCATCTCCAGTGGAATTTATTGAGGCAGTTTAACAAGTCATTGGATATATATTAAGTATCAACAGTCTCTTTAGTCACCAAAAAGACTATTTTCGGATCACATTTTTTGCCGTAAGTTTCACTTCTTCGGGCAATATTTGTGTGCGTGTGTGTTTGTGTGCGATTACGCGATTTAGTGAGTGAATGGATTTTTGAATAAGAATTGGGCGTTTAATGTCGAAATCTCTCATTAGAATAAACAAATTAACATTATATGGCTTGGAAGTCTTGAACTCTTGCACAATCTCTTCTGCTAAATGGGAAAAGTCACCAATTTTTCCACATATATAAACATTTAAAGAAGCCTTGAAGAATCCGGTCTGAGCGTAATATTAATGCAGATTCTTCGCGACGCACCGAGAAATCCCACCCATTTTTGTGCCATCTGCAAGAACAATTCAAATGAATCCGAGGAGGGAGAAAAACAAAATGGGAAAAGCATACGATTGAATAATTCAATAAACTTCTTGAAGTGGATTCAATTGTATTTGCAGATCTTTTGCATACAGTTGTTGACTTCTCTCGCGTCATGACACAGTTTCATTTATTCAAATTAGCCAATCTGTGGCCGGTCACAGAAGTTCAATCGAAGATTTATCGCTACTTCAGAAACAGTGTACGAAGAACATTTCCTCGTCTTGTGTGCGCGGGAAAAGGGCAAAATGCATCCCCGCGAGAGTAGGAATCCTGATGGAAATTAATTCAGCTCCACGGTTTTCTGGAAATATTTCTCAAATGAAAAATATGCCAAATTAAAGATATGGATTTTTTTTTATTATTTTTCAATTATGGTTGATGTTTTTGCTTTCACAACTTATGAAGGGAGTCAAAAATTTCCCTTTAAAGTTGTTATTCGGTCAAAAAGCTTTTAAAATTCACATATTTAGTGTTACTAATTGAATTTGTATGATCGTGAATGAACAGAATCGATTCTCAACGAGTGCAAAAGCTGCTGCATAAGAATTAATGCTTCTCAACTGATAATTAATCAGTGACTCTCAGTGCGTTGTAACATTTATATGAAAAATTGGATATTAAAAGTGAGTAATTACAGTGACGCTGACAAGCTGTAAATAAATATGCATGTGTTTGAGGCCCAGAACAAGACCGTTGCTGATGAGCAGAATCTCTTCATCATCAGCACCAGAATTCCAGAAAAAACTGAGCATAAATCAGCATGATTCTTTCTGAACTTCTTTCACTTGCATTACTTATATGGTGTAAATGTATTGGCTACGTCTTTGATTTCACTCACATTCGCGCTCTTTTCTGTGTGACAAAAAATGTTTTGAGTGCATTTTCAGAAAGTGACCGAGAAAAGCCAAACAAGGAGGAGAAGAAAAAACTTCATAAAAAATTGAATTCATGAAATTGCCGATAAGCAATTCCACTCTGGCGGTGATTAAGTTGATTTTGCTGAGGACACGGAACTTTCCTTTCTTTTTCTTACTCACTTTTTATCTCGTTGTTTTTTTGCTGTGTGCGTGCGAACATCTTTCCACGCATTTTTATAAATACATTATAAAATTTATCGGGTTTTGCCACTCCAAAAATATCCACTATTTGAGAACTATTTCTCCTTCTTTTTCTCTTCTTCGCTGCCACCCAATTGAGCGGCAGCGAAAATAGCTCCCAAACAGATCGACACACGACGAGGGAGCGTTTATTAGAGTAAAATTTTGAAATGTTGCCAAAATAAATTTTCTGTTATTATTTTACTATTTCTCATGTGTTCGATTTTCTCAGTTCGCCCAAAAGATAATATAATGTTGAATTTACATTTTGGCAACTGTTATTGATTTGTTATACAAAAGTTGATAAGTCACCCTAAATAATTTCTTTAGGGATTTTCACGCATCTGTTTTATATTTCATCATGTTTTCTGTATTCTTTTTGTGCTTTGTGACACGATGATTCAACCTTGATTTGAGGATATTTCTTTGACTGGCTAGAGAAAAGAAAATATATTCGATGAAATGTCACAATGAGACAGAATCATCGTTAATCTCTCCATGGAAGATTAATATGGCGAAGCAACGGCAGACAATTTGACTGTTACGCATTGTCGAAAGCGAAGCTGCGGAGTTTCCGCTCGAAGAGCACTTTACAGTCCAATTGCTCAAGGTTGTTGGGCCTTGAAATCGCCTTCGTGGAGAGCAAATATTAATCTACTGATATTTGATATTAGAAAAAATCTCCATTTCTATATTTAACACCATCATTGACTCATTGCAAAACACCCGCAATAGTCGAAAAAAAATTCCCCCATCACGGCTGAACCAAGGAGGAGATAATGTGGACAGAAGTGGTGTACAGATCAGTAAAGATTTGAAGCAATGGAAATGATAAAATTTTGCGGAATATTTAGTTCGCAACTTCGATTCTCTTCTCTCAGGAATTAATTCCTATCCAAATCTTTATTTTGACATATTTTTTCTAGGTTATGTGACTAATTTAAAACTAAAAACATCTTAAAGTAGAAATTCTGGCGTCGAAACTGAAAGTATTTTCACTTTTTTAGTAGAATTGCGTAGTTTTACTCAAAAATTCGTGGTTTTGAAAGCTAGCGTATTAAGAAACGATCCTAAAATCAAACATAACCTCACTTTCTCACTAAACAGTAACAATTTTTAGTCAGAAAAATTCTATTCGATATCTCTAATAAATATTGGATCTTAAATCAAGATTGTGATCAAGAAAAATGTATGTAAAAGCAGAAAATTAGCAAATATTGAATAAGAATTCCTTAAAACAGTTTGAAAAATCAGAGTTACGAAATTGACAATTAGATTTCTATTGACTTTTAAGGATTTCTCATACAAATTGTGAAAGTGTCAAGAAGTGGTGTACAGATTTTAGTCAAATTATCTTCTCCTTGGGCTGAACTTTGAAGAAAAGTAAGTTGTAATTGAAGAGAAGCAAACTTCTCATGCATAATTTATTAACACTTGTTGAGCATTCCTCCTCCGCCGCGATTCGCCTGTTCCGCCAATGCAGATAAACCGATTGACAATGTGACTCTGCGTGAGTTTTCTAAGGAAAAGACGCAGAGCATCAAGCTAGAAGAATTTAATTAACTCACGAACTTCTCTAGCCTTTTCACGGCTCTTGTATGACTTCATAATGCCAGCGAGAGAACATAATTATACAAATTATTCAACGTGTGTTCCGCTCTTCTTCACATTTTTTTTCATTCTTTCAGTTTCATTGAGCATTTTTACCTCCAATTTGCACGTCTCTCATACAGTTTTCTTTCACGAAAACCTCTGGAGAAGATGTGTTGGTTCGTCTAGGATTTTTTTTCTTTCTATTATAATTGTGTTATTTGCAAATTTCATGCAATAGTATTCACGGAATTTTCGCTAAAAGGTGAAAAGAAAGAGAGAGAATTTGACGTTTCGTTCCACCTGTTGAGATTTCGGTGACGTCAAGCGTGTCTTTTGACTTTTCAGATCAACAAAGTCCGCAATTTATCAACACACTTTCGACGTTGTTTGTTCAACACGTTGAAGAGTGTGAAATGGCGAATTTCACGATGATTATGTCGTCTTAAAATAGTGATTTTTAATTACTTTTCTGACCAGAAAGAATAAGAAGAAAATAAAGCACATTGAATTGATGGAAATGTGGCGACAGACTTTCCTGTTCTCTAGATAGGAAAAAAAACTCCTCAATTGCCCTATTGTTGATTCTCTTCTTCATTGCCATATCTCGGCATCAGTTTATGTGAAACATGCGAGTGAGTTATTGAAAATATGATCGAAATATGAATACTAAATAGCGACTGCAAAGCGAACGTGCTTCCTTCTCAAATGCCGCGTCCGAAAACATAATGCGCTCTCTTGCCATCGATATAGCGGCAAAGTTAATATCATCACATAAAGTATTTCAGCTTTTATTACTTAACCATATGGAGGAGAATATATTAAGCTTCTCAATGCTTCTATTTTCATACGCACGAGTGGGAAGAGACTAAGATTCTCCGCGAGATTGAATGTGCAAAAAAGAAGTCCGTCAGGAAGACGAGAATGACTTCATTATGGTTGCGACGAATTCAACACTCTTTTCCTCCCTTTGGAGGGAATATATCTTTATACTGACAGAAAAATCGGGCGAGAATTCAGTCAATTTCAGTAAAAAATAATTTAATAAGCCGAAAAAGACTTGAAAATTGCTGTTTCAAGAATGTATTATTTCTCTGAGTGTAGCGAGAGTGATTCTGAGAAAGCCAGGAAAATCTTAATGCCCCAATTATGTGTTGAATTATTGCGATCACGTGAAGATTGAATTGATTGATGTGTTTAGAGTAAGAATTTAAGTGAAGTTTAACTGGAAATTGACTGCATCGAAAATCATTCGATGCCAATTTACATTCTCATGCATCGTAAGCATAAAAGTCATGCTTGATTTTAATGAGTGTTTCTCCCAATCATAAATTTGGGAGGAATATTTTCTTGACTTTCGGAAGTTCTCTTCAATGTCTGCACTTAGAACTAAAATTTATCACGAGGAGAGAAAAATTTTTTTATTACAACCAGTTCTTTGACTCTATTAACTTTTTATTACAGCGATATTTCATGTTTTCTCCCCCAAAAAAATCACCATTCAAGACGAAGAGATGAAAAGACCTCGAGATTCGCGGAATTATTCGCGAAAACCACTAGTAAATTCTCAAATATAATAAAACCGTCGAAGATTTGATATTTCCCACTGAAACTTTATTACCACAGCTTCTCTTTCTCTCGATCAAGAGAGGCGTTTAGAGTTTTGAGAAGGAATTGATTTGAAGGCGAATGTGTTGACGATAAGATTTTATTATTCTGTGCATATATTATGTTTCAAATTTCACAATCAAACAACAATTTCCACAGCGTAAACACGCCAGAGTTTCAATGAATTTATTGCAATCCATCCAGTGTGTGTTTGTGCGTGCCGAGAAGGCAGAATATTGAAAAATTATCAGTTGAAAAACAGCCAGTGAGAGAGAATAGAATGGGAAAATGTGTGTAGCATAAAATAAAATTCACTTTGCCCCAGTTCTGTCAATTTTATTTATGCTTTAGACATTTTCT